ATCACCCTTATATTACAGTGGAGTTTAGTAAATGAAAGTAATCTAATACAGTAACTGATAGAATAATATGAAGGTGATGAGTGTAATATTAATCAAATCTAATCAAAATAATTATTGTAAGAATTAGTCATAAATCCTGTATGTTTGTTAAGAAATAAAAATACATTGTTTAAAAAATAAGTAAAAGAATAAATGTCTGCATCCATAAATCACAATCCATTCCTGAATATATGTGGCAAACTACTGCACATATATATATATATATATATATATATATATATATATATATATATATATATATATATATATATATATATATATATATATATATATATATATATATATATATATATATATATATATATATATACATATATATATATATATAATTGCTTCTAGAACCTAGTTCGTTATAGCATTCGTTCGTTATAGGATTAATCCGTTCCAGGCCCCCAAATACAACCACTTAACATGAAAAATATAATATAAAATTGTAAAAATTGTAAAAAAGTTGCATAAATATGCATCTAAACCCCTGAAATAAAGAATATCATTAATACTTGTAATAAAAAAAACAATAAATTAGTAAAAAAAAAAAAAAATTTTTTTTTAAATAATGTTCGTTGTAGGAGTTTCGTTCGTTATAGCATTCTCACTTTTATAGGTAAAACAGTTCGTTATAGGAATATTCGTAGTAGGATCCGTTCGTTATAGCATACCCCACTGTGTACCGGGTATATATATATATATATATATATATATATATATATATATATATATATATATATATATATATATATATATATATATATATATATATATATATATATATATATATATATATATATATATATATATATATATATATATATATATATATATATATATATATATATATATATATATATATACTGTATATACACAGTAGTACCCCGATTTATGCGGTCAATTGAACCCACAGGGTACCGCGTAAAGTGAACAACAGAACATATGGGATTAATTCCAATAGAGACTGGCCCGACCCCAAAACTCCACTTTTTGACGACACACAACTATGTTGTAGTAAAAATATTATCTTAACTTTATGATGGTATGCACACACAATTAATTATTAAGAGAAATATCAATAATATTAGTTTTTTTAACACTTACATTAGTAGAAAAGATGGCTGGGCACACAGGGATGGGGGTTGGTTCCGAGGCAGAGGGCAGATTATTGGCCCTCACCTTTATCACTTGTATCAATTGTATCACTATCCACCACATAGGCTTGCAGGGCCTCTTTGTCAAACCCCTCAAAGTCCATATAAGTCCATCTCCTCACTATCACTGACTTAGGCCGGCTGTGGTGGGTGGCGGGTGAAGAACTCGGTAATGTTTTGATGACTGGGCGACCTTGTGCGCATCCTGCCCGCTCCGCTTCCCACGTATATGAGTAGATGCACCGCGGAAAGTGAAAGTTCGGTTCTGGTTAGGCACCTCGTAAATGAGAAATCGCGGAAAGTAAAACCGCGTAAACCGGGGTATACTGTGTTTATTTATATATTTATATATTTATATATATATATATATATATATATATATATATATATATATATATATATATATATATATATATATATATATATATATATATATATATATATATATATATATATATATATATATATATATATATATATATATATATATATATATATACACAGCTACTCCTCGACTGACGACCACCCGGACATACGACCGCCCCAGTCGTACCAAAAATTTTTCAATAGTGCACAACTACTGTAATTGACTACCTAGCCCATTAAAAACATTAATATAGTTCTATCTATATGAAAATATGCAGTTAAAACTATGAAGGAAAACATAAATCAAAGTTTAACACAGCCACCAGCAGTGCCATTTGCATAGAAGCTGGCTGCTTCAGCGTGGCTGGCCTATGGTGTTGCCAGAGTAACCCAGTCTGGCCACCTCTGCCAACCCTTAATAACGCTCCCTCCCCCACACTCACACAAAGAAATATTTATTCCCTTTATGTTTTTAACCTTATGATAGTTTGTGCTTAAGTGCTTTTGCTCTAAAACTGTACTCTAACCATTCGAAATGGCTTCCAAGCACCCATCAAGTGCTACTGATGCTAGTGTAGTGAAGAGGCAACGTAAGACCATTACCCTCGCTACGAAAATGGATGCATTAACCCGATTTGAAAAAGTGGAACGTGCTGTGGACATACCATAGCCGCTGTGCTTGGTCTAACCCCCACAATGGTGCGTACTATCCAGACCAACGCTGACAAGATTAAGGTTAGTGCTGGAAGCGGTTTTTCTCCGAGTGCTACCAAGACGACTTGTACTAGAAGCACTGTGATAGAGAGGGTAGAAAAGATGCTGGCAATGTGGATGGAGGACCAGAATCAACACAATGCCCCTGTGAGCCTTATGGTTATCCAGCGTAAGGCCAGATCCTTATTTGACGACATGAAGGAAACAGAGGGTGAAGGATCGAAGGAAGAGACCTTTATGGCCAGCCGAGGATGGTTTCAACGATTTAAGCGTCGGTTTAACTTCCACAATATAAAGATGACTGAAACTGTCAGTTCAGATATGGTTGCTGCCGAGACATTCCTGCCAACAACGGAGGAGGAGCAAGCAGAGGCGGAGAAACCTCAGTCAGAGCAGGAGGAGGAGGAGGCAGCCGCAGAGTCTCAGTGACTCACCACCTTCCTCCTCTCCCGCCCTCCTCCGCGCCCACCCTCCTCCTCGCTCTACCACCTCCGCCCATCGGTGAGTACCAATACAAACTTAGTACTGTAGTTCTATATACTATTTTCTATAGAAATGGCAATATTTTTCTGTATATGTAACTTTTTTCATGGGGCAAAGGGAGGCTGGTGAACATAGCTCCCGTATTTTATCTATTTATTATGGGTAAAATTGATCCGCTTAACGTTGTTTCGCATAACGTCGCGTTTTCAAGAACGTTACCCTGACATTAAGCAAGGATGCCCTGTACTGTAAAAAGTTTTTTTTACCAGTACTCAAATGAAGCATTGACATGTTATCCACAGGCAAGTGTAACAACTTTATGAATACATCTCAATATACTGTATACAGTAGACACATACTGTACAAGGTAATGGTATAATAACACATTTTGGCACTAAAATTGGTTAGCAATCTCTTCTCACGAACGGATGCCAAGTGCTGTGTGTCATATTACTGTATAAACAGGCAGTCCCTAATTTACAAAGATTCAGTTTATGGAAATCTGAAATTGCAAAACAAATTGTCCCATGTTTCAATTTATGTATAAAAATTCATTAGTTGCAAATATTTTCCACTCTTTTTGTAACTTTTCACAACTGGGGAGGTAACACAGGTATCTCAGGGCTTCCTGTACTGGATCTGGTCAGTTTATAAAGACAATTAAACTAAAGTAACTTACAGTACTGTTCTGTATTAAAAGTGGTTAACTAAGCTAAAAATAAAGTACTGTACTGTACATACATGAGTATGTGTACTCTCAAATCCAGAACCCTTTGGACCAAGACTGAACTAGTTTTGAGGATTTTCTCATTTTTTGGATCCTACATCAGCCATATTACCCTAGGCGTACAAGTAGACTATGTCAAGTTTTGCTTACAGACACACAAACTCAGTTGAAAATTTGCTTTACTTAAGTAACAAAATAAAGAAAACATTGTTGTCTGCAAAATTAACAAAAATAATAATCAAATTCAGTCTAGTACTTAGAAATTGAGAGTTCCCATGTGAGAACAAGAAGCATCTAGCATAAGTTACCTTAATCTTTGCTTTAATTTGACCAATACTAATTTCAAAAGCTTTGTGGAAATAATACTATTTTATAATAAATAAATAAAAATAATCATCAAGATACCGGGCTATTTAATCAATCTTGCAATAATTATTTATGAACTTTACTTCTCACAAATGTTGACTCCCTAAAAGCTTCTGGGATGTCAACAAATCCATTTAATTTACTTTTAGTGAATATGTCAATTACTAAATGGACTATATCTGTGCAGCATTTTTGTTTTGTGTTTTATTTAAAGTAGAACACAATGATGTTTTCGTTATTTTGTTCTCCAAGAAGTAAAACCAACATTCAACTGTGTGTGTGTGTGTGTGTGTGTAAGCAAAACTTGGGTAGTCTACTGGTAGGCCTGGGGTAACATGGATGACCTAAGACCCAGAAAACTGAAAAATCCTCAAAATCTATTCAGTCTTGATCCCACGGGTCCCAGATTTTAGTAAATTTTTTGTTCAGTCACTCATGTCACTTGGTCTTGTAAGAGTTAAAGTTTAAATATCATTTAATGATTCCAGGCCTCTATTGCCATAACAGCTTGTACATCTAGTGTACTTGGCTAGCTTTAGTCAAGTATTGACTTGGTTTTTTGGATAAGGTTATGTATTCCATATAAATATTATTCCAAGTCAGTTTATGAGTTACTCAAAAGCAATATTTTGATACTCGCCATGGTCAGTGTAAACTATGTCTTCTGGAAAGCATTCATACTGTGCTATTTTTTAAGGATAATGCCAAAGATCTCTTAATGCTACATACTGCAGATTTCGCACAACTTTTGTTTTTATCCAATTAATTCTCTAAACTCCTAAATTAACACACAAGTTTTGTATTTCTACTGCCCTCATTCCTAATGTATCTCTACTTTGGGAAATAATTGATTCACATTCATACAAAAAGGGTTAGAAAAAACAGTAATTTATCCACATTTCTTGCATACTTCACACAACAATTTTTCCATTCACTAAAGCTTGAATTGGACATCTGTCTTGTAACACTTTATTTTAATTTTCAGTCTCCCAACTGTTAATCTTCTTAAACTTAAATCACAATTATTTACATTTATGTAATATTCTTAGACCCTACCCTATTAACTCAAAACTGACATTTCAATAATAAAAAATAAAAAATAAAGAAAGATAGGCTTTTCTTGCACCTTGTTGACCACGCACCTGGACAGTCTACCTCATCTGAGTAGTCAGGACACTGAGGGATTCTATCGCACCGCTGAGATTCTTGGATACAATAGTAGTCATTGCACTGCCATTCTCCCTGACGACATTCTAGCAAAGTAGACAAGCAGTCATGCATAACATGCACTATGCTAATTACTTAAAAAGCTCAAACTAAGCTAAATTTTAGTGGTACCCTTAATTTACAACTCACATAGCAAGCCAATAATGCATCTTTGTTAATGAGTTATAATTTACAAACCAAGCTTGAAGTTCAGGTAAAACAAGACCATTCAAGCTGTAATGCATGTTAAACTTCATTAAAGTAACAGTAGAGTACCAACACCAAAAACATTATGGAGCATACAATCTCCATACCTTAAAAATGGTAAATGCTCTGTGGCAGATACCGGTACAGTATATGTATTAAATTACACACATGTACAGTCTCGTTCCAGATTCTTCGAACACTGCAGGAGGCAGCTGGTAACTCAAGGCCATTGGTTTACTATAGTACGTAGTACTGTATAGTATAATATAATATGAAACAACAAAGCCCAACCATTAATTAAGCAACGGGGAACTAAATAACCAACCACCAATCACTTTTACATTCATTCATAAATTTTACTACGTATTATAGTAAACAAAGGGCCTTGAGTTGCCCACTGTCTCCAGCAGTGTTCGAAGAATCTTGAATGAGACTGTACCTTCATGCATAAAGTCCATCATACTCCACAACCTGTTACCAATTATCAAAGGACTTAACAGATAACAGCCAAACTATTGTAAATGTCATTATCATTTACATTTAGTCATTTATGTCATCAAGAGGAAAAATATTGCACAGGAAAAAAGTGAAATCAAAGACTACAATGCTGTAAAGTGAATAAGATAAACAGCTCATTCTCGACTATTACAAAAAAACACAGTACCTACCTTAAAAACGCACGCACGCACGCACGCACGCACGCACGCACGCACGCCACCACGCACGCACACACACACACACACACACACACACACACACACACACACACACACACACACACACACACACACACACAGTTCAGCTGGTACTGTAGAAATAAATGTATTTTTAATTATAAAAAATATAAATAAATGGATAAAAAATAGCCTGCGCTTCTTAACAAGTCAACATGATACCCAAACTGTAAAGGACTGCATAAGAGTAGACACGCTCACTATTAAGTTTCATATGGTAGTTACAGAAAAAAGGTAATAAAAGTGGAAATATTCCAAGAAATGAAGGAAGTGTATTAACAAAAAAATTAATAGTATGTAAAAATGTCGTTATAAATACTGGTAGAAATAACTAAAAGTTAAAATGGTAAGATGGTAAGACTTGCAGTTATAATTTTAATGAAATAAGGGAATATATGTTCTACAAATATTTTATTTACTCATAAAAAAAATTAAATAGAAAAATTAACCAGTGAAAAGCAAGAGAACGAGTTAAGTGGAAGACTATCAGAGAGGTAAGTTCTGTATGTTAACTAATGACTCATGAAGTGTGCACTCACTGTTTACCAACAAACCTGACTTAACTTCTGAGGTTATCTCCTTATGCTTTGAAATATACCATATAGCCTGATGCTTGGGCTCTAAAAATAAATTCCATAGACTTAGTTTTGTCCACAAGTATGATGTGACCATTCTTACACAGTAATGTTACTAACCAAGAAACCAGTCACATGCATTTTAGATGTCACTGTTGCTAGGAACATAATTATAAGAGTGGAGGGAGCTTAGTCAAAGAGTCAATGGAAGTACAATCATGGTTGGGAATTATGTTCTGTGTGAAAGTTTGACTAAAAAAAAAAAAGAATAAACATGGACAATCTACAGACATCATAAGATAGCTAATAAATTATGTAATAAAAGCTGTCCAATAACTTTGACAAGCTCCAGTAATCAATGACCCAACTAATGTTTCACTGGACTGGTAAACTTTTTCATCAGTCTTGAACCTCTTACCTGGTGTACAACCATCTTCATCTGAAAAATCAGGACAGTCATAACGTCCATCACAGCGGGCTTGTTTTGGCACGGCAGACCCATCACTGCAAGTCCATTCTTCTGTATGGGACCATAGACTAATCAATAAATGAGTCCCAATAAAAGATGGGAAAATTTTTAGCTTAAGACAAAACTGTTCACAGCTATAGTACATGAAATATCTGATTTGAGGTTATGAGATTTTTTCCCCAATACTGTATTTCAAAACCTTTCTTGCTAAAAATCAAGAGTGGCTATAACTGAGAACATAAAAAAGACTTTATTTTCACTTGTATTCATTCACTTACCCTTACACACATGATTTCCCTATAAACTTGGTGATGCTATGTTCTCATAACAATTAGGCACTGCTAGTTCCTGGATGTTCATCCCCTAACATCAAGCGCTTCTGTCACCTCATCCTTACGACTCCTCCACGGTCTTAGCCACTCCCTCTCAGCATCCACCTTTACCTGATATGCTCTTTTTACCAATCTTTCACTTCTTATTCTTTCAAAATGTCCACATCACCTTTACAAACCATGGTCAGATCTTAGTACAACTAGGAAACAATTAAAATTTCCCAAGTCATATCCATTCCTGGTCAAAAATCTCTCATCCTTGTGACTGTCTTGGAATTGACATTATTATGGACCTACCACAATTTGCCATAAATTGAAAAACATATACAGAGAATCCATCCTATATACACTTATTCTTACTTCAACATATCCGAGTCCAAGAAAACAAGCATGAATTCCAAATGTTTCATTGTTGGGCACTGATATGATAGGATTTAAGAGACTGCCTAATAAAGTAGACCCCCGCATTGCATGGAGTAAATCTAAATATGAAATCACTTTTTAGATGTGAATAAAGTAATCACAAAAGTACTAGGACACACACACCTTTAACCCCTTCAATACAAGGATGCCACATTTAATATTTTATTTGGACAAACAATTTTATTCATCTCAACGGGGAGCCCACACATAACGGGTTTAGCTTTTCTCCACTTAGTGCAAGATGGCAAGAAACAAAAGTATATGCACATTTCTCCATCATGTGTTAATATTAATTCATTTATACACCTGCAATAAATGTGTTCTGCCATGATACTCCCCTTCTACATTAAGGCCACAAATCTGGTTTATCTCTATCACTTTACAAAAGCCAACATTAACCATCACCAACCATCATGTCCTTCCTCAAAATTATCTCCATGCCTTACTTTCAGCTCATTCAAAAACACATATACTGTGTATGTTTCAACCTCAAGCAGACTTATTTCACTGATAAATTTATTGATTAAGATTCCCCCTCACCTTGACATCCCTGCTCATCAGTATAGTCAGGACAATCATACTGTCCATCACATCTTGCCTCTTGTGGAACACATGACTCATCTCCACATGTCCACTGATTAGTGTCACAAACTATTGTCAAGAAATAGGATTGGGTTCAAATTAGGTTAGTATTTCAGAGTGAGTATTGTGCATTCACAATTATATGATCTCCATATTCTACATCTGAAATTTTTTTATACTAGAGATCAAAATAAAAATTTTTCACTAGAACTACCTCTCTTAACTTTAATTCTTTGCTTCAACATAATTATACGTACCTTAAAGTTTTACTTACTTATAATCTATTAATAAAGTTAATGAAGATTGAACTAACAGAAAGGACACATTACAGTACCCATGAAGCATAACAAACTTACAAACTTACCATTTGGGCATGAGTATTCATCAGTGTAGTCAGGACAATCATACCGTCCATCACAACGTCCTTCTTGTGGAATACAAGACCGATCTCTACATGTCCACTGCGTACGATCACATTCTACACAAAAACATTATGATACATGCATGAAGGCTACTCTACAGAGATTAAAGATTACAAATTAGTAGTTGTTAATTAACTACAATACAAGTTAAACAAAATTCTAATCACCGTTATCCTCTAGGGGAGACGGTTCCATGCATTTATTTTAATTACGATTTGTTTTCACAATCACCATACCATTAAGAAATTATTAATTAGCACAAGGGGTAGTCCAAAGATCATTCAATTTTCCAGTGACATTCATCTCTCAAAAGTAGGAAATTATAGGTCACAGTTTGTCTTAAGAGCTTAAGACTAATCTATGAGATTCAATAAGTCTTGACACCCTATAACTCAGCCTATGTTACAGAGTAATAACCTCCTACCTCCAGCTTACCACACAGGACATCCCGGGGAGGTAAATGGAATCTGGGTCACTCCTTACTGGCTCTCTTATGTAATGGGTTTTCAGGTTCTGTCATATAAAACTTGGCACCAGTTCAGAGTAACCTATAAATCAGAGGCCAGCTAAGAAAAGTGAGGAGTCAGAAAGAAGTGCCAAGTGCTGTGCAACATGCACCTCAGTGGAGAGTTTGCAGTTTTCTGGTGTTATCCAGAGTTTTGGGGATCTTTCTCAAAATCAGAAAGAAGGTTCATTACTTAAAAACCCAACAAGGTGGCCTTGTGGAATAAATGCTGGAAAGTTAGCTAAAGTGGCAGTTGATAGAGACTATATTAACCTTGAAAACTAAAATATATCGCACTCAAACAGAACATTAAACCAAACTACAGTAACTATTCCACCCTATGCGAGGTAACCAAAGTAATAAGAAAATCAACATATATAACATTAAAACTGAGGATAAGGGTATAAGATCCCATCTCCTTCCACCCTGAAACTCAAAATCAAAGAGGCAGGTTGAATATAATTTGGACAAAGCCAATGTAAAGGGGAAAAATAAACGCTTACCAAGCCAGAAGAAAGCCAGTAGCATAGAAACCCCTTGGAACTGCCTTTGCTTTAAGCTGGCTTGAAGTATATGGGTGAATACCTAAATTTGATCCAAACTATTACAGGCCATAGAAAAGGCATAAACTCCTGCCGAGACCTCTTGTAGGAATAGTAATACACAGATTGAGAATTGGACTTCTAATAATAAATCCAAGAGTGGATAAATTCCTAAAAAAATACAATCCAACAAATGTTTTGATGGCATCATTATTACTCAGCCATGAATATGTTCTGACACTGAGTGTTTCAGCAATGTGTGCTGCCTTTAAAGAGCAGGAGAGCTTCAGCACAAAAAAGAAACACTGCCAAAGAAATTATCAACCATGGAGAGAATCTTCAGGAACACTATTTTTGTATGTTTGGACAAAGCACATTGCATACAAAGCCTTCAGTACACAAAACAGGATTGTAAGTGGACTCGGCTGCCTTTACTTCCCCAGGTAAAAATTTCAGTGCTAAACTGCCCATTCACAAATGGGTATACAAGGGGTGCCCCGGGCACAAACCAACAATACTTGAGACTTGAGGGAACACTGTATTCACTCATATCCTTGACCACCGAAGGGTCAAGACGTACCTGGCGCACCTCTCGGAGCAGCCAGGTCAACTGTTAAGTTGGCCCATACCAACCCCCTCCCGTGAACCCTCCTCCCCACTGGAATATCAACAAGTTCTCGCCAGAAGTTACAATTTCATTTAGGAAAGGAACGGAACCAGTGTTAAACAGAGGTGAACAGTGCTTAAGTCAGTGAGAACAACTCAACAGTAACAGTCGAACACCCAAGTTAGCCTTCACACAGTGAGGTCCCAGGTACCCAGTGATAACGGCCCGTGAGACCCAACAACAACCAGCGATGTGTTAATCCGTCTACGATAGGAAGGCCTAAGACCAAACCTCACTCATATAACACCATCTGTGAGGGAATTACTACACCACGTGAGGTCCCTCATAACACCATCTGTGAGGGAATTACTACACCACGTGAGGTCCCTCATAACACCATCTGTGAGGGAATTACTACACCACGTCAGGCCCCTCATAACACCATCTGTGAGGCAATTACTACATCAAGTGATGCCCCTCATAACACCATCTGTGAGGGAGTTACTACACCATGTGAGGTCCCTCATAACACCATCTGTGAGGGAATTACTACACCACGCCAGGTCCCTCATAACACCATCTGTGAGGGAGTTACTACACCACGTGAGGCCCCTCATAACACCATCTGTGAGGTAATTACTACACCACGTGAGGTCCCTCATAACACCATCTGTGAGGTAATTACTACACCACGTGAGGTCCCTCATAACACCATCTGTGAGGGAATTACTACATCACGTGATGCCCCTCATAACACCATCTGTGAGGGAGTTACTACACCAAGTGAGGCCCCTCATAACACCATCTGCGAGGGAATTACTACACCACGTGAGGCCCCTCATAACACCATCTGCGAGGGAATTACTACACCACGCCAGGTCCCTCATAACACCATCTGAGGGAACTACTACACCACGTGGGTTCCTCCTAACACCATCTGGGAGGGAGTTACTACACTACGAGTTTGCTGTTCAACACCTACATTAATCTGTATGTTCATTGTATGTTCCTTTACCTTTCTCTAATGAAGGCTTTTGTTAAACCACCAATGTTTGTACTGTCATTTATGTCCAATGTATATTTTCAGCCTTCGGGCTGCTGAATTTTTTCAATAAACCGTTAATTATTATTATTTATTATTATATAGGACCTCTAATCTCTCTCTAAGCAATGGCAGACACATGAGGATTTGAGTCATCACTAGTTTACCTCCAGTTACGCATAACCTAGGTGTTTATGGGACAAACCCTCATGCCTTGACATGCATTTCAAGGTTTGCTTCAAACCGACAAGTTACAAATGGTGTAGGGTATTTATTAAACTTGCATACACAAAATTAAATTAAAAGTGCTTTCTCTTTATGAAATGAGAGCACCAACATTTAGCAAGACTGTGTACCCAGTTGATCTCAATTAGTTCTTCCTCAAGAGTTAGGCTCTATGATTAATCACTTGAAAATGAGCAGGCAACAGATCTCAAACTCTAACTGGTTGGAATTGTATGACATCACTATGTTTTGGTTTCTTCAATATTTTGGTAAACACAAGCATTTGTGAAAACTACCAGATGACTTTTCCATTCAGATGTACTGTAGAACCTCCAAAGTCCTTTAAACATTTAAATTGGCCATCTCAAAAATCACGGATATTTCATTGCCAGACCTACTTTGGACACATTTCTGTGAGATTAGCTCAGACCTAACAAAAGGCAAGTCTATACTGAGCTTTAAAGTAAAGGTACACGAGTATCTTTTGAGTGAAACTGGACGTATGATAGTCAGATATCTTGAGTGAGTACCCTTCACTAAAAATTACCTCGGAATAATGATATTGTACCTCTATGCCACTGCCCTTTATTTCTTTATGATTAACCAAGCATAGTATAAATTACAGTGATTCCTTACATGATTTGAATTCACTTTTTAAACAAAACAGGGACTCTAAACTATTTTTTCCAAGTTCCTTTAAGATCATATTTCCATTTTTATCAAGCAGGTATGCAAGATTATAATCCCAGTTCATTAGGTTTTTGTAAATTCATAAGGATCTCGCAACTTATTGCAAATTACACAATCCTTTAAGATGAGGCAGAATTACTTCCAACTACATACAACTTTAAACTTAAATATGCACACACGCACATGCACATTGAACTGTGTGTGGTGTGTATTTATGGTGGGTGGGTGGGTGTGGTGTGTGTGTTGTGTGTGTGTGTGTGTGTGTGTGTGTGTGTGTGTGTGTGTGTGTGTGTGTGTGTGTGTGTGTGTGTGTGTGTGTGTGTGTGTGTGTGTGTGTGTGTGTGTGTGTGTGTGTGTGTGTGTGTGTGTGTGTGTGTGTGTGTGTGTGTGTGTGTGTGTGTGTGTGTGTGTGTGTGTGTGTGTGTGTGTGTGTGTGTGTGTGTGTGTGTGTGTGTGTGTGTGTGTGTGTGTGTGTGTGTGTGTGTGTGTGTGTGTGTGTGTGTGTGTGTGTGTGTGTGTGTGTGTGTGTGTGTGTGTGTGTGTGTGTGTGTGTGTGTGTGTGTGTGTGTGTGTGTGTGTGTGTGTGTGTGTGTGTGTGTGTGTGTGTGTGTGTGTGTGTGTGTGTGTGTGTGTGTGTGTGTGTGTGTGTGTGTGTGTGTGTGTGTGTGTGTGTGTGTGTGTGTGTGTGTGTGTGTGTGTGTGTGTGTGTGTGTGTGTGTGTGTGTGTGTGTGTGTGTGTGTGTGTGTGTGTGTGTGTGTGTGTGTGTGTGTGTGTGTGTGTGTGTGTGTGTGTGTGTGTGTGTGTGTGTGTGTGTGTGTGGGTGTGTGTGTGTGTGTGTGTGTGTGTGTGTGTGTGTGTGTGTGTGTGTGTGTGTGTGTGTGTGTGTGTGTGTGTGTGTGTGTGTGTGTGTGTGTGTGTGTGTGTGTCCATTTATAATGGATAGTTAGCTTTGACAATCCTCTTTCTCTTTGATGTGTGAACCCGGAGAGTAATCAAAGCATAATTCTGAAGCACTCGTAAGTAAGGGGAAGGCTCCTGGAATGGCTCTAAGGAACCTTGCAAAAGTAAATAGACTAAGGATGCTAAATAAGCATTCCACCTCTACAACTCAATGCAAATATTTCTTGCATGGTTATAATTTTAATACAGATTACAAGATAGAATGATCATTGGCGCCAACCTGCTATGCTGCTAGTCAGTGGCCGTGTCGAGTTTAGTAATGTGTCCTCAAATCTGTGAATGCTGGTATTTTAAATATAGTTTTAGGTAATATTGGGATAAAATGTTATTGCATCCAATCTTCTTTATTATGTGGAGAATATTCGTACTCTCCTTGTTAATTGTTTTGCTAAATCTAGGACATGACCAAATGTTCCTTTGCATAAGATTTTTTTTATTTACTGTATATGCATTTGCTGTAGTAAGCTAGAATAATACACTGTACTGTATCATACTGGCGGAATAAATATGCGGATAATGATAATTGATGATACAATTGCATCATATAAGTTACACGTGATAGAGAGGTAAAAAGGGTGATAAGACAACAATGTGGCTGGCTAGACTATAGACAGTTCCAGAATTGGAGGCACTATATCGGTGTGAGTTGGATGGGTATAATGAATACAGTATTATGAAGTTTAGCTAAATTTCAAGTTATTTCTAAACTTGCCTTCAGTGTGACTTGATATTAGACTTATCTGTACTCTAATTAAGCAATACCAAGTTTGGTTGTTTGGTGTCTGTATGAATCACTCAAGATGGCTCCAAGCAAATATGTGAGATACTGCTACCACCACACACCCTCACTCACACCACCCACCATGATAAAGCAAACCACTACTCACATTTATTCTACCATCTTTAACACAATGATTTTTGGTTTCCTACCATTAAAAGAAAACTGGTAAATTTATACTGCATAAATATTTATTACTACACAAATCTTGGAAGGTTATGTTGAGAAGTAAATTAAGGATTCGTTCATACCTCATGAAAAGAGAGGATTGGCAGTGATAACTGTATCCATTATAAATGTAGGCAGCTGTATATGTAAATTACCATGATTTTTATCACTGAAAATAAGCTAGAATTAAACTTGTACAATGAGACAATGCAATGGTAGTGATGACCAACCTTACCTTCTCAACACAGTACTAAAGAATGGGTGACTGATGCTATACTGATTAATACCATAATAACAATCAAGTGTAAATATCAGTTGGTTAAGAGGGAGAATGGGTAAACTACTGAAGTGTTGATTGCTAGACAGTAATGGTATGATTGAAGCATGGATCCTGGAAGTCTGTTATCATAGCTACAGGATTTTCATTATGTAGTGGTTTGTTGTAAGTTCTATGGACCAAGGTCAGTCACTGCCCTATTGAGGCAACCACCACACCATTCAATAACTTATAAAATACCCAGTGTTACTAGATGAACAAGTGCTTTCATAGCAATAGAATTTTTCCTATGAATAGTGTGTTTTGCTGCTGAAATACCATACACAAGACAAGAGCCAATTATATTATGAGGTATTCAATGGGCTGGGGATCTCCCAAGACACTCACAACCATAGTTCAATAGTCTTCATTCTAATACCTACGTGCTATGAGATTTAGCTTAGTAATATTGACATAATTTATATTGCATTTACAGTGAATTCTCTATTACATGGAGTTAAACAGATATCTCCATTTGTCAGATTTGGGAGAGGTGTTTTTTTTCTTGATACATTCTTTTCTGGTTGTGTGTGAAATAACCCAGGCCATCATACTGCAACTAAATGTGCTCATACACATCCTTGTACAAGTGTATTTTCATACTAGCATGTAGATAGTACCTAACCTGGAGGCATATGACACTGTCTACACAAGTCATTCAACTCCCACTTGTGACCATAGGCTCAAATGATGTGGTGAACATTTTAACATAAATTTTTGCATATCCTGTACACAAATCAACCATGATTAAAGTGACACCCAAGCCTTGACATTGGAAGAACTACCATATCTGAACAACGCATTATCTTCAGAAAAATTGCCTAAGCAACACTTAATGGAGGAATATATAAATGGGAGGTGAACACTTACTATATGAAATATGTTTAAGCTAAGTTGAAGCAGCAATCACTAAAACTCTTGCCATGATAGTCAGAAAAAGAACATTCATGAAAAACCAGGCTGGTTGCTATATGCTTGATACAAACATCAGCCTCTAATGGAAAGTACAACCCCTTACATTAATGTATATGATTTACGTTCGTTTTTATTTAATTTCTCTTTTTTTTCTATTTCATAAATTCATCTGAAAATTTTTTCAAAATTTTCCTATGGGTTGGGTTTATTTTTTGACAATTAAAAAAGAATGACCAGGAAACTGCACAAATAACAGGATAATATCCAATTTAGTGAGAATTTTATCTACTTAAAGAGAACTTTCCAAAATAATCAATAAGTTCCAATAATATAACTACTTGCAATACAAATTATTCCAGTAAGGGAAACACTCACTGTATAATATTATCATATGCATATTATCTTTATTACGGTGTTAATATTACTATAGAGTGCACTACCATTCTCAATATTCTGTCCTTTCCATATATATTAAAGTCAAATGATTTTTATTCACATGCAATAAATTATCTCTTCTAGTATCTGAGTTACACTTGCCTCTATGTTACTTCTTTAAGGTCCAAAAACACTGCAGGATAGCAGTCATGACAACAAATTAAACAGCCTGTTAATGCAAGCAAAGGATTGCCTAATTCTCTACAAAATATATAATCTCACCTGCAGGACAGCCATCTTCATCACTGTAGTCAGGACAGTCATACTGACGGTTGCAACGTGAATCTTCTGATACACACGAACCATCTGCACAAGTCCACTGGCCTGATCCACATACTATCGCAAAACACATTCACAGATAAGTAAAATTTTTAATCAACTAAAACTGGTACACATGACAAATGTGCCTTCTGAGGGGCAATATAACTATGAAGTGACCTCCATTCAAGTTAGGTCTACCTTATACCCCTGTAAACCACAAATACATAAATTGGAATGCATAATTTAGCTAAGTAATATAGGTTGAGCATCAATTATCTGTATCTCCAAACTTTGTAAATCTCCAAACTCCAGTTATTTTAACAAGACAAAAAACATAACTTGGTATCAATTAATCTCTTTGTTTGAACTTGCTTGGGGTTAGTGCTTTGTTGCTTTACTTCACTTTTACTAACTATAATTGTAACTCTGTTATCTATACAGTGGTCCCTTGGTTAACGAGCACAATCCGTTCTAGAAGGTTGCTCGTTAACCGAAAATCCGTTAACCGAAACCATTGTTTCAATGGGCTTTTGGGTAATTAGTTCCAGCTCACCGAAAATTGCTTAAATTCAACAAAAAATGTAGAAAAGTACACTTACTTTGAGGTGTGTATGTAGAAGGCTCCTGTATGATGATGATGATGATGATGATGATGATGATGATGATGATGGGAATTAGAATGGGGGTGGAGAAGGGAGAAGAGAAGGCATTAGGGTGGAAGAGAAGTCACCCCATGGTGCCATTTCACCCATAAAATTTTAGTTCTCTTGGTGTAATTCAAGATTATTTCCATTAAATCAACACTGCACTGCATTATATATTGTCAATATGTAAAATAAACTTCAAAATGACCAATAATTTGCTTGGAAACACAGAAAAAAAGCATTTAGTTGAAGAGAGTCTCAAGCAAGATGTTACTTCCACTGACAAGACACAAAGACTGACGCCTGTATGGTGTGTTGAGAGGCTGGATGGCACGCATAAAACTAGTTACTTTACCTTCAATTATGTTCAATAATTGTTAAAATAACTAAAAAATTTAATATTAAACTTTTAAAATTATTGATTAGTATAAACTTCTTGATAATTACTAAAATAGTAAGGAATTTAAGCCCTAGAACCGATTACTGTATTGGTGGACTAATACTACAGCTGGCTGGCCGCCAAGTGCAAGCGAAAACTTGTTGTGGTTGGCTCGTAAGAATCTCGTTAACCGAGGCGCGCGTTTACCGAGGGATCACTGTACTTCTTATAGCATCCAAAAAATGATCAATGGATGCCTTATCAACTCTAGCACCATCTACTTAAATGCAGAGTTAGCTATATGTTGCAGCTGGTGAGAAGATAACAAATTCACACATGAATAAAGAAATTTGACAAACTTTCTTTGATTTTAAGGTCAATAAGCAGCAGATATTGAAGTTTTACTTAGAAACTGATTCAAATAAATTAATTAAATATTGGATAAAAGCAAACAAGTCAAAATTTACAGTTACTAGTCAATTCAGCCAATGTCAAAGTCTCATACATCTGGTAACAGTTGTTGGTACGGAATCTGGTCATTTCGTCCACATTATGGAGGCAGCTCGCCCATAAGTCAACTTACCTACTCGTAGAGTTGATTCACCCAAACTATCGAGTCAGTTCGCCCACACCTGTTTTGTTACCTGTTTTATCTAGGTTTAGTAATGTATTATTGCAAAGAACTGAACTTCAATAAAGTTTTGGGAACTATAAAAATATCGTCTGTAGGTTTCGTAATTGTTAAAGTCCAGCAGATTTGGTCAGTCAATAGCAAGATGGCACACTTCGAGATTATTGCATTCAATGCAATTTGACTTAGCAGGCATGGCAAGAAGGTCTGCAGTGCGACGGGTGTGGGAAGTGGCAGCACAGGAAATGTGATACTGGTGTATCTCGAGCTGAGTACCAGGCAGCTGTTATATCAGGTCATTCCATAGACTGGAGTTGCAATTCGTGCACCAACAGTATCGTGCCAATATCAGACATGAAAGATCATATATCAAGAACATGAATCCACAGTTCCACATGGCCACCATCAGCTGGAGTATTTTCAATGGGTCCGTGCGTACCAATAATGACATTGAAGGATAGCACAACCGAGTGAATAAACTTGTTGCTGGAAGATGCCACCTTCAGTTTTATCTGCCTGTTAACCTTCTCCACAAAGAGGCCAGATTAACCTCTGTACGTAGAAGGCCGGTTTCAGAAAAGAAGCTCAGAAGGATCCAGTGGAAACAGTACAGGGAGTTGCAGGCCAAAATATTCGCTCTTAGGGACGAATACTTGAGGAACGAGAGGTCAGCTTGCCAACTTCTGAGAGCTTGCGTCCATCTCAATGGACCAGTCAGCAGTGCTTATGTGACCAAACATCCTAAATCCACTCTATGTTACTTCTATGATTAACATTTTAGTTTGTGTATTTTATATAGGTTTTTATATTTGAAAGTCACAGAACAAACAACCCGAGTCTTAATTTGTATATTTTTATGTAGTACTTGAATAAACATACATAGAACTTAAAGTGTGGGCCAACTGACTTCAGGTATGGGCGAACCGACTCCTATGTGTGGGTGAATAAACTCTATATGTGGGCGAATGGACTTGGGGGCAAATTGACCACAAACCGTTGGTACACATATCCCTTGTTTAACAATCATTAACAGACAGATAAAGACCAATAACAGTGTACTCCAGAGAAACTATTAAGGGACTAATAAGCACTATGTATGTTACTGACCTACTGGTGGGCAGTTCTCCTCATCTGATTTGTCAAGACAGTCTGGTACTCTGTTACAGTGGTGAGACTGTGGTATACAGGATCCATCTACACAAGTCCATTCTCCTGGGCCACAACCTAAAGAAAAGAAAATTCTCATGCTTATAGTTACAATGATAAACATTAGAGTAAGCCCTTGCACTTCTGGACCTCTCGGATTCGGATTTCGGTTGGTCCGGACAATGTCTGGATGTGACAAATTCATATCCGGTCTTTCTCTCTCAGTCTGTATGACATATTTATTCCCCCACTGCTAAAATGGACCCTGTCCATACCTCCCACCACTACTCACCAAGTGCCATTTATTGAGTAATACTGTACATTAATATTATCATTGTTGTTATTACTGTATTATGATTATTGTAGTACTGTATATTGTATAATACCATTATTACTACTGTATTATTATTAATACCTTATTCTTGTTATCATCAATACAATCCATGGACAATATTATGCTTATCATTAACAGGCCTTCATCACTCAGTTTATCCGGACATTTACCACATCCAGATGCCGTCTCCCCCCCCCCCCTCCCAATTTTCTGGAAGTGCAATATATATATACAGCCCATTCACAATCCCTGCGATAGATTGCAGAGAGAAGACCGGGTAAACGTATTCTCTTTCGGTAGGTCACGTTGGGCTTATATTTAGGCATAAAAGATCCTGATTGGACAGACAGTTACTGATTAATCTCAATAGAAACATTTGCAAATAAAGAAAAGTACGTAATGCTTTGTCTTTTATTTTTATCTTTAACTATTTTTTATAATTTACTGTGAATTTATTTTAATATTTGACAATAATTTTGTTATTTTTTACTTTTAGTACTTAAGTATTTAATGAATGAGATACTTTTTTACTTCTACTTGAGTACATTGATATTTGGATATTTTTACTTGTACTTGACTAACAGGATAGCAGTTATGACAACAAATGAAAAAGCCTGTTAATGCAAGCAAAGGATTGCCTAATTCTTTACAAGATATATAATCTCACCTGCAGGACAGCCATCTTCATCACTGTAGTCAGGACAGTCATACTGACGGTTACAACGTGAATCTTCTGATACACACGAACCATCTGCACAAGTCCACTGGCCTGATCCGCATACTATCGCAAAACACATTCACAGATAAGTAAATTTTTTAATCAACTAAAACTGGTACACATGACAAATGTGCCTTCTGAGGGGCAATATAACTATGAAGTGACCTACATTCAAGTTAGGTCTACCTTATACCCATGTAAACCACAAATACATAAATTGGAATGCATAATTTAGCTAAGTAATATAGGTTGAGCATCAATTATTTGTATCTCCAAACTTTGTAAATCTCCAAACTCCAGTTATTATAACAAGACAAAAAACATAACTTGGTATCAATTAATCCCTTTGTTTAAACTTGCTTGGGGTTAGTGCTTTGTTGCTTTACTTCACTTTTACTAACTATAATTGTAACTCTGTTACCTATACTTCTTATAGCATCCAGAAAATGATCAATGGATGCCTTATCAACTCTGGCACCATCTACGTAAATGCAGAGTTAGCTATATGTTGCAGCTGGTGAGAAGACAACAAATTCACACATGAACATAAAACTTTTACAAACTTTCTTTGATTTTAAGACCCATAAGCAGCAGATATTGATGTTTTACTGATAAACTGATTCAAATAAAGGAATTAAATATTGGATAAAAGTAAACAAGTCAAAATTTGCAATTACTAGTTAATTCAGCCAATGTCAAAGTCTCATACATCTGGTAACAGTTGTTGGTATGGAAACTGGTCATTTCTTCCACATTATGGAGGCAGCTCGCCCACAAGTCAATTTACCTACACTTAGAGTTGATTCACCCAAACTATCAAGTCAGTTTGCCCACACCTGTTTTGTTACCTGTTTTATCTAGGTTTAGTAATGTATTATTGCAAAGAACTGAACTTCAATAAAGTTTTGGGAACCATAAAAATATCGTCTGTAGGTTTCGTAATTGTTAAAGTCCAGCAGATTTAGTCAGTCAATGGCAAGATGGCACACTGTCGAGATTATTGCATCCAATGCAATGTGACTTAACGGGCACGGCAAGAAGGTCTGCAGTGCGACGGGTGTGGGAAGTGGCAGCACAAGAAATGTGATACTGGTGTATCTCGAGCTGAGTACCGGGCAGCTGTTATATCCGGTCATTCCATAGACTGGAGTTGCAATTCGTGCAACCAACAGTATCGTGCCAATATCAGACATGAAAGATCATATATCAAGAACATGAATCCACAGTTCCACATGGCCACCATCCAGCTGGAGTATTTTCAATGGGTCCGTGCGTACCAATAATGACATTAAGGATAGCACAACCGAGTGAATAAACTTGTTGCTGGAAGATGCCACCTTCAGTTTTATCTGCCTGTTAACCTTCTCCACAAAGAGACCAGATTAACCTCTGTACGTAGAAGGCCGGTTTCAGAAAAGAAGCTCAGAAGAATCCAGCGGAAACAGTACAGGGAGTTGCAGTCCAAAATATTCGCTCTTAGGGACGAATACTTGAGGAACGAGAGGTCAGCTTGCCAACTTCTGAGAGGTTGCGTCCATCTCAATGGACCAGTCAGCAGTGCTTATGTGACCAAACATCCTAAATCCACTCTATGTTACTTCTATGATTAACATTTTAGTTTGTGTATTTTATATAGGTTTTTATATTTGAAAGTCACAGAACAAACAACCTGAGTCTTAATTTGTATATTTTTATGTAGTACATGAATAAACATACATAGAACTTAAAGTGTGGGCCAACTGACTTCAGGTATGGGCGAACCGACTCCTATGTGTGGGTGAATAAACTCTATATGTGGGCGAATGGACTTGTGGGCAAATTGACCATAAACTGTTGGTACACATATCCCTTGTTTAACAATCATTAACAGACAGATAAAGAGCAATCCCAGTGTATTCCAGAGAAACTATTAAGGGACTAATAAGCACTATGTATGTTACTGACCTACAGGTGGGCAGTTCTCCTCATCTGATTTGTCAAGACAGTCTGGTACTCTGTTACAGTGGTGAGACTGTGGTATACAGGATCCATCTACACAAGTCCATTCTCCTGGGCCACAACCTAAAGAAAAGAAAATTCTCATGCTTATAGTTACAATGATAAACATTAGACTAAGCCCTTGCACTTCTGGACCTCTCGGATTCGGATTTCGGTTGGTCCGGACAATGTCTGGATGTGACAAATTCATATCCGGTCTTTCTCTCTCAGTCTGTATGACATATTTATTCCCCCACTGCTAAAATGGACCCTGTCCATACCTCCCACCACTACTCACCAAGTGCCATTTATTGAGTAATACTGTACATTAATATTATCAGTGTTGTTATTACTGTATTATGATTATTGTAGTACTGTATATTGTATAATACCATTATTACTACTGTATTATTAATAATACCTTATTCTTGTTATCATCAATACAATCCATGGACAATATTATGCTTATCATTAACAGGCCTTCATCACTCAGTTTATCCGGACATTTACCACATCCAGATGCCGTCTCCCCCCCCCCCCTCCCAATTTTCTGGAAGTGCAATATATATATACAGCCCATTCACAATCCCTGCGATAGATTGCAGAGAGAAGACCGGGTAAACGTATTCTCTTTCGGTAGGTCACGTTGGGCTTATATTTAGGCATAAAAGATCCTGATTGGACAGACAGTTACTGATTAATCTCAATAGAAACATTTGCAAATAAAGAAAAGTACGTAATGCTTTGTCTTTTATTTTTATCTTTAACTATTTTTTATAATTTACTGTGGATTTATTTTAATATTTGACAATAATTTTGTTGTTATTTTTTACTTATAGTACTTAGAGTGTGCGCGGAATGTTAGTTCGTGTGCTGAAAAAATATTGATATTTACGATTATGTTATATAAATACAGTCAAGTAACACTTACCACTTCAATTAATACTTTGTAGTGTTTCCTCTGCGCTTCAGACAGTCTTTTAGCCTTCGAGGAACAATGTCAGCAAGGTCTTGCAAGAGGTCAGGTGGCAAGTTAGCCCAGGTATCCTTGATGGCTGCCTCTAGCTTCGGGATTGATGATGTGTCAGCGACGCTTAACAATGGACCACAAATTTTCTATTGGGTTAAGATCTGGGCTACTGCCAGGCCAGTCATTAAGGAAAGGTACCTCACAGTCTTTGAGCCACTGTATAACACTTTTAGCAGTGTGGCATGGGGCACCGTCCTGCATGAAAAGGCTTGCCTTAGCTTTATCAAATGATTCAGGTAAGAAATCACTGAGCAGTTCAAGATAGTTGTACTGATTCATCATCTGGTTCTTAGGGAGGAATACTAGTTCACCAACACCATAATACGTAAAGGAAGCCCAAACCATAAGCAAGGCAGGGTGCTTAACAGTCTTCACTGTGTACTGTGGGAGGTGCGCATCTGAGTGGGGGGGGCGGTACACCCTCGCTCCATTACTCCCAGTCACAGAAAACGTAGCCTCATCCGACCATAATACACTCCTCCATGTCTCTAAATCCCACACTTCATATTTCTTGCAAAATTTCACTCTATTTTCCTTCTGTCTCTTTGTCAACAGAGGTTTACGACGGGCACGGAAGCTCTTAAATCCCAGGTCATCGTGCAGGGCTTGTTGAACACAACGTAACGAGACGTGACTCAAAAGACGGGGGTTTCTCTCTTTCACTTCATGTGCTGTGAGTGAGGGATTGGACCGAACTTGTCGAGAAATAACCTTAAGTGTCTGTGGAGACAATAATTTAGGCCTACCAGACTTAGGTAATGGAGCTGGTAACTCGTCCTCTCCAAGGTCACGGAAAAGTTTGACAAGATTTTGAACAACTCGTAATGCCACACCAGTCTGAGCCGATATTTCTCTCAGTACATGGTTCGCTTTGTACAATGCAATCACTGCTGCAATATCGTCTCTTGTAGTAACCCTCCTGGACATCTCTGATAGCTACTATGTCGGGTTAATGCACCTTAAATTAGACAAAACATAGCCACCTGGCGCGGGAACCCGCACAAAAAACCTTCCCCTCACAGCTGCCAGAGGCGCACTGCCTACAAGCCGTGACGTGTTCTCAGTTGCCAAATGTCAGCACTTGCCAACAAACCAAGCGTTTTGACATTCGCATCCCAGGACAGGCTTCACAACATATGATCTTATTTTTGCGAGAACTTAGTTCGTCGGCCCTATCGCGACTTAACATTCCGCACAGAATAGTACTGTATTTTATGAATGAGATACTTTTTTACTTCTACTTGAGTACATTGATATTTGGATATTTTTACTTGTACTTGACTAACAGGATAGCAGTTATGACAACAAATTAAACAGCCTGTTAATGCAAGCAAAGGATTGCCTAATTCTCTACAAGATATATAATCTCACCTGCAGGACAGCCATCTTCATCACTGTAGTCAGGACAGTCATACTGACGGTTACAACGTGAATCTTCTGATACACACGAACCATCTGCACAAGTCCACTGGCCTGATCCGCATACTATCGCAAAACACATTCACAGATAAGTAAAAATTTTTAATCAACTAAAACTGGTACACATGACAAATGTGCCTTCTGAGGGGCAATATAACTATGAAGTGACCTACATTCAAGTTAGGTCTACCTTATACCCATGTAAACCACAAATACATAAATTGGAATGCATAATTTAGCTAAGTAATAAAGGTTGTGCATCAATTATCTGTATCTCCAAACTTTGTAAATCTCCAAACTCCAGTTATTATAACAAGACAAAAAACATAACTTGGTATCAATTAATCCCTTTGTTTAAACTTGCTTGGGGTTAGTGCTTTGTTGCTTTACTTCACTTTTACTAACTATAATTGTAACTCTGTTACCTATACTTCTTATAGCATCCAGAAAATGATCAATGGATGCCTTATCAACTCTGGCACCATCTACTTAAATGCAGAGTTAGCTATATGTTGCAGATGGTGAGAAGACAACAAATTCAAACATGAACATAAAATTTTTACAAACTTTCTTTGATTTTCAGACCCATATGGTGGGCCTCACCCACTGTACAGCAACTATCTTTTCATGTATTATGGATGATATTTAGTGCTTATTAAAGCAATTTGGGAAAAGTTTCTGCATATTTATTAGCCTCCAAAACCTAACTATTTTCCCCCAGGAATTAGCCCATCCGGGCACAGGTTTATGACCCACATCGGGCCTGGGGTGAAAATATAATAATAATAATAATAATAATAATAATAATAATAATAATAATAATAATAATAATAATAATAATAATAATAATAATAATAATAATAATAATAATAATAAATACAAATAAATAAAAAATAAAAATTCAATAGTGAGAAATGATAAATGTATATGTATGCTGTGTTGTCAAAGTAAGAGAAATAATTGAGACCTTGCAATTGTGTGTAAATGAGGCAGAAAGTCAGTCAGATCAACAGCCTGGGACTTGGGTCACAATTTTTTTGATGCCATATGGCATCTCTTCTGGTACCTAACTCATGAATTACCACAACCCCACTGTAATAAGGTACAGGGGGTCCATGACTTATGACTGTCCGACTTACGAATGCCCGATGATATGAATGGGGTTAAACTTGACATTTACTATATTTTATTTACCTGATGACATACGTTTGCTTTCATTAACTATATTTTGTCATTCTATGTCTACTTTTGTCTGAAACCAAGTGATTTTATATGTACGGTATATAAGGACTTAGGCTATGATATAATGTGATTTTAAACATCGTTCTGTAAGCATTGTATGCACATAGCATGTGTTCTGCCCTACGTGCAAATCCGACTTAAGAATGTCCCCAGGAGTGGAACCCATTCATAACCCAGGGACCCCCTGTATAAAGTATCCATTGTTATCTAAATGATCACTATCCGAATATTCTCTTCCAACAATTTTCTTTTTGGGGGGGGAGGAGCCACAATGCGAAGGCATGGCCCAAGAGTCAGCTGAGGCAGCCATTTTGTTTCCTCAGATGCACAGGAATGAACTCTCACTCAAGGCGCATGACATCATCCCCTCCCTCCCCCACCCCACGTCCGCCCATGCTCAATTCGCTCTGTATTTGGTTCACGTGAAGTGCTTTCTCTTTATCTAACTGTATTCATAACATCCTTCCATAAATCTGTACACAAAAGCAACCAAGAATAGTGATGTTCTTCTGCTAACTCCAACATCACCAAGAAACCCCAAAACCTGTGATAATTGAAACCAAACTTGAAATAATGAACCATCACAAATGGGGGAATGTCCAATAAAACATACTGTACTGTCTCAATTGTATATAAGTATTTTAATTAGTTTTCTTTTTTAAGGTATACTGTAACACCTGTAGTAATTTTTTGGTAATTGGGTAGAGTACAAGAACAAACCAACACACTAAGCTCCAAGGCAAAATACATTACTGTACAGTACAGTAATACCCCGCTTTACACATTTTTTTTTACGCGTTTCTACATTTACGAGGTACCCCGCCAGAACGGGAATTCCCACTTTACGCAGTGCATCTACTCATATGCGCGGGAAGCGGCACGGGCAGAGTGCGCACAAGGTCGCCCAGTCATCAAAACATTACCGAGTTCTTCACCCACCACAGCCGGCCCAAGTCAGTGATAGTGATAGTGAGGATATGGACTTATATGGACTTTGAGGGGTTTGACAAAGAGGCCCTGCAAGCCTCTGTGGTGGATGGTGATACAATTGATACAAGTGATACAGGTGAGGGCCAATAATCTGCCCTCTGCCTCGGAACCAACCCCCCATCCCCGTGTGCCCAGCCATCTTTTCTACTAATGTAAGTATTAAAAAACCTAATATTATTGACATTTCTCTTAATTATTAATTGTGTGTGCATACCATCATAAAATTAAGAAGTTATTTTTACTACAACGTAGGTATTGTGTCTTTAAAAGTGGAGTTTGGGGGTCGGCCCGGTCACTATTTCAATTAATCCCGTATGTTCTGTTGTTCACTTTACGCATTTCCCGCTTTACGCAGGCCTCCGTGGGTTCAATTGACCGCGTAAAGCGGGGTTACACTGTATAAGACAATGACAATATATTTTTTCTTTTTTCATGCCAGGAACTGAACTCTATTTTACCCAACCCATTAAGATGGTGAGGGATTCCCGAGAACAGTATCTAGTGGTTGTTCTTTTATATTAAAAATTTTCTGATGTAAACAATATGTAATTCAACATACTAAACATGGCTGTTGTTAATAGAAGTTGTACTCATTAATAGAACTGAAAATCCTTATGGGGGATAATTCGTTAACTGAAATCTCATAAATTATACCGCTCATTAATGGAGGGACCACTGTATAATAATTAACACTAAATATTTTACATTCTCAGAATTTTTAGAAAATGTGAAAGTAGTGCAGCATATGGCAAGTGAATGTGATTTTATATTCAATGTACTATTATAATATCATATTTCATTAGTTGAGCCAGTGAGAGTATTAACTCATGGAGCTAAATAGACCTAAGAAGCATACTGTTGGAAATAGAAGCTAAATAATATGTAAAAAAAAAAAAATATCTTGTAGGCTACGACAGTTAATATTTTTCATGTTTTATGACAACAGTTTTCCCCTCAGATACACGGATTTCAACCCCTTAAAAGTATTGAAAATAGGGAGTTGGTATCCACATACTGAATGGCAATTGTGTGAAACTCAAGAATCCAGAAACTGCAAATATCTAGGGTTCACTATTCCTCAAATACCCAACTGCTCATCTATCACTCAAATGAAGTGCATACCATCTTGTTTTATAAAAATCACAAATATCAAGATGAGGATGAATAAATTTTCTAAAATATGTTATGGAACACCATTAATTAAGAAAAATTAACAAAATAAACACTTACCAGTACAAAAGAAAGTTATAAAAAGATTCAGTACAATAGAAGTTACAGTACTTCAGAAATAGTATCCAACAAATTCCTTCTTTTAAATTGTCAGAGGTGAATCCAATAAATGCATTTGTCTTAAATTACCAAGACTGGAAAACACAAATTTTACTGTATGTGACAAATCTTTTCGACTTACTCAATGGGCAGTTCTCTTCATCAGAGCGGTCAGAACACTGATGAATTCCATCACACCGAACTTCATTTGGGAGACAAGTTCTATCTCGACAGGTCCACTCCCAGGGCTGGCATTCTACATAACACAAAGAAGTTTAGTTATGTACTTCTAATTGTTGTTCATACAAAGCATCAGCTAATCATGAAAATATTCATAAATGTAACTAAACAGTGAATATATTATGTAATATACCATTATATGAAGCTCTTCATCAACATGGACAACTACTTGTTGAAAAATAAAATCTTCTCACCTTCAATACATCCCGCTTCATCTGAACCATCTCGGCAGTCATAATGGCGATCACATCGTCTTTGTTTGAGTATACAAGATCCATCTCCACATGTCCACTCTTCTGAGCTACATTCTGTTAAAGTACAAAATGCTACTTAGAAAACATGAAACTATAATGCGTGTGATTCTTTCTCACATAATAGTTTCACCCTGAACCTTATGTTGTAACCAAGACAGCAAGGAATTCCTCCTGTATAATGCTCATAAAATCCAAAGGGCTTAGACACAAGGTATTTGGTTGCTAGGGCATAATTTAATGATTTTCCAACTCCCCTGTATAAACTCTATTCTTAAAGAAGGGTGTGAGGGGCACCAGTTACCATCAAAGACTGGGAGCTATAGAGTCATTAAGCCAAACAGCTTATTGTGCATCCTTACCCTCGCATGGCAGACTCACAGTGCCAACCTCTAAGTGCATCTCAGGGAGGCAGGTGAGATCAAAGATATTCATCATAAGGTCAGTTGTAAAATGGGTTTTCAGGATCCAATCATCATATAGAAGCTGTTGTCAACTCTAGGTCAAATGTGGAATGGGCTGCATATTAAGCAGCACAGCATCACGATTTATTAGTTTCTAGACTTTGGTGGCAAACGTGGCTCCTTAAACTCCTTTTTAAGGACTGTGGGGGAGTTGGCTAAATCTTTGGTATAAGCCCCAGCTACCAATTCATGGTTATCTAGACACAAACCTGAAGGCTTAGGTGGGTAATGTACACAAGTACCTTTGAACTAAGGTTAGGTTGTATTATTCAATGTGATTTCATTGCAGGTGATATTTTTTTATGTTAGCTAAAGTGAATCACAAATCCAGAAAAGAAGAATTGAAGGTAAAATTTTCTATAAAATATGTTAACTCCTCTTCGATGGCATTTTGTTATATTATACTTCGTAGGCCATTAATGTACGAGTTAGGGACCTCCTACCACAGGCCAAGTCACTAACCAATATATATCACTACCTAGTTATTCATAATAATTTAGATTTAATTCTTGTAAACTACCCACGCTTTGGTGGGTGCTAACTCCCGTTGTCCTTAAATCATATCAATATTGTCTTCATATCACAAGCCATAGCTTGTCCTGCGAGACACAAGTACCAATGTATTAGTGACTGACTGCATGGTCTTGTGACTAGGCTTGTCGCCCCCTGGGGTGTAATAAATAAATTAAATAATAAATAATAAGCCCAGAATGACTAAACAGATGCTCACAAGCAGCAGATGTAGGTACTGGGGTGTTAGATAAGTCACATAATGTTGGGAAAGACATCAGTAGCCCATTCCACCCCTGGGCATGTCAAGTAGCTATCACGCTCCTTCAGTTGAGGAGCTTGTGGATGATTGTTGCCTCCATAGTGACTGAGTCTGAGTAAGACTCACCAGAATTGTCCTTCTTATTGGGGTGTGGCTGTGGTGACATCACTTTTCGATTTTAATTGGTGAGTGGCGGAATTTTTTGCACCACTTAACATCTGTCAGATGCTGGGGAGGTGGGGGGGGGGGTACTTAGTTATTTAGGCAGAATTTTAAATACACTCAGTCTCACACATATGTATAGATACAGGTTTTATATCCAAGACGGAATGGACGAGTTGACGGTCGGAATTTTTTCGTACGATGGCAGGTCAATGGGTAAAGAAAACGCTTAAATTCACTATGGTAATGATATTATAAAATAAATTGGGCCAAAAAGTGTCAAAAATAAGAGATAAAGTTGCTAAAAAGTCACGTGACTGCGAAAAGCTCTGTGATTGGTTGTGACGTAACTGGCTGGGGCGAGCAGCAGAACGGGAGATACCGTATCACTCTACGATCGTGGCAGAGCGCATTTCTTGTGTTTACCCAGAACCGTCAACCCGTCCATTAAGAATCACAGGATCTTTGAAATTCCTTTTAGGTACATGTACTGTATATGCAGAGAGCAACTGAAGTCTAATGGGAAGACCAAGCTCCTGAATGAAAGGTGGGGGAGAAGAGAGGGGATTCGATGGAGGAGGGATAAGAGGGTAGGCTAAGTAAGGTGGGTGGTCAAGGTGCTAATAGACACAAGAAGATCAAAGGGAAAGTCTGTTGTCATGGCCACTGCCACCTGACCTGACCTGACCTGACGTCACCTCACCTCACGAGACCTCTAAGTATGTGACCACGTGGTGTCTCCCCGCACCCACACCTTACCCTTCACAACTCCACCCACACAACTCTTTTACTATTGATAATAATTAATTAATCAAAAATATATTATTAATTTGCATGTAACAAGTAACAATTTTTGTTTTTTCAATTGTATTGGAGTAAAAGTACTGTATTAGAAAACCATACTTAAGTGAAAGTACTAAAAAATTTGAATACTTTTTAAAAAGTAAATACCCCAAAATTTTACTTAAGTACAGTACTCAAGTACATTTATTTAGTTACTTTACAACTCGGGATGCAAAGTAAGTTAAACTAAAAGGTAGGACCTTTGCTTTGGTTCACTAAACATAAACACCACATAATATTTTCTACTCCAATTACCCAAATCTAATCAAGCAATTTTTTTAAGTAAACTGTATTATAAACTTACTTGCTGGGCAGTTCTCTTCATCAGAGCGGTCAAGGCACTGAGGATATCCATCGCATCGAACTTCCTTTGGGAGACAAGCCCCATCTAAACATGTCCACTCCCCTGGTCTACAAGCTACATGAATTTGTGAGATCATGCATTAAAAAATGAAGCTTTTATTTTACTGAGCACATGCAAAACTGGGATTATATTGATATTTGGTATTGATCCATAATGTTATGACTTCCATGTTTGTCATAAGCACAGTAAGATAATATGCTGTTGTTTAAGCTTTAACATCATTTTAGTTCAATTTTTTTCACAAAAAGCTTTTAAGAGTTTGAAGTGAGAGTACTGCATTTATTTACAACTCACTTGTCGGACAATTTTGCTCATCTGATAGGTCAGGGCAGTCATTGTAGCCATCACATACAACAAACTCAGCAACACATGATCCATCTTCACAGGTCCATTGCCCAGAACCACATACTGCATGGATATACTAGTTAATACATGCAGTTAATGTCTACATCAGCAAAATGTGTTTAGCCATTTAGCTTTCTCTAAATATAGCATGGGAAGTTGTTATTATTATGCAAGGTTTTAGTAAACACAGAAAATAGCACATCATATTCAACTTACCTCGTTAAGTTGCAACAAAGTCTTATCTTTAATTCATTAAAAAATAAGTTTGTTTAGCAGTCCTCCTTTTTTCTTCTATTATTTCTACAATAATGCTGTACAGTATTACAAAATTTGATGGCAAAAAGAAATTCAATTTTCAGAATGATAAGAAGTTTTGTTAACAAATCACATATGATTTACCTATCAACCAATTATTACAGGGGACTTTAAGATTGGTCTGCCCTGGGGGTTGTTGTATGCTGATGACTTAGCGCTGACAGACGATGGAATTGAAGAGGTAGTGGAAAGTTTCAAGAAATGGAAGGATGGAATAATGTCAAACGGTTTGAGAGACTGAATGTGGCAAAAATGTTAAGTACTGATTAGTGGTGTGAGTGAGGGACCCATGGTGGAGAGTGGAATATGGCTATGTGCTATCTGTAAGAGAGGTGTTGGCAGCAACTCAATTATGTGCAGTGAGTGTAGAAGGTGGGTACACAAGAGGTGCAGGGAAGTAGATGGCATACGGCAAAATGTTACTGACTTGCCGAGTGTTTTGTATGTGCAGGTAACCATGTGGCCTTAGCAAAGCAGGAGAAACTTAACATTAGGGATATTTCCCAGGGCTGTGTTGATGACTTCTGTTTCCTGGGCAACATGATCAGTGCTGGAGGGGATTACTGAAGTGCATAGTTTAGACTCTCAGAAACTTTTCCTAGTACCCGAAAAAATTCAGGGGAGGTGGGATTTTTTCCAGGTTTGCGTCGTTTCATTACCCAAATCTCTCATCCCCAGAAGGGCTCTGCACCAATTGTTCCAGCTAATAGGGATATCATTGTATTTCATAACTTTCAAACAATTACTAAAATATTGTAAGTCATAATACACTGTACAGTATAATAAAATAAAACAAATCAAATACTATTTTGGCTCGAGTTCAAGCCCTGTCACTGTACTAGCGGATGCATTTAAATGTAAAATAAAAGTTTTTTTCACGTCTTTACCTAATTTCATATTAAAAATATTCACATTCATGGAAAGTTACAAATCTTCACTAAAATACTCCTCTAAAAATATATAAAATACTGTATGTCCTACTTTGTGGACAATCCTTTTCATCTGTGTAATCAGGACAATCATAGCGTCTGTCACATCTTGCTCCTAGAGGCACACACGACCCATCTCCGCATGTCCATTCATAATAGCCACAAACTACACAGAAACAGACACTAATACATGCAAGAACACTAAAAAGCATGATTTTTGTTAATATATTAATGATTTACACATGCATGTACAGTATTCTCCAATAATGTACAGTACTCCGGTATCTCAAAAGAAAGTATCTGTCCAAACTCTGTGTGAAACTTTGAGATGATAGATATTAGGACATGCACTTTCTTTGGTATATAGTTTAACATAAGTTGAGTAATGTATAATGTGTATTTATTTCAGTGTAATTTATATGATGTTCGGTTACCAAATGTACTAGGATCATTATGCCACAGAGACACGCAAACTAACCCCCCCAGGACATCACAATTTGCATGTAGCATTTCAGAAGCCACTGGACCCATCCAGGCAGATACTTTGATATACTGTACATGGACCATTGAATGAAAATTAGAAGATTAGTAAATACTATATTTCATTTTACTCCTAAAATACTTGTCTACTTTCATTAGAAAATTATATACAGTACTTTGAATGCTTATTAGCCAGCATGAAATAAAATAAACATTTCCAATGATGAAGTTGAAATTTCATGTATGCTAAATATTCATACTATTAATCGTACAGCATTTTACTTTTTCGAAGCACACAAGATCCATCCGCACATGTCCACTAACCTCAGCTAGACACTACAATGAAATAATCACAAGAACAGTTGCCTCCACATGAACTTAACACAACCTGGGAGTATGTGAAGGTAAGGATACAAGGTGTGGCACACAGCACTGTAGTCATGGTTGAATGACTGGGCGTGAAATAGTGAAATTACTCTGTTTGCGTGGCCACACATCAATGCCAAAGAACACTTATTATATGAACGCTCTATATATTTATGATATGCAGCATTGTTGTGTAGCCACGACAGAGTGAATAGGACTGAATTATGAGGAACCCTCAAACACGGTAATCCACATTTTCAAGATCATGACTACAGTGCTGCGATGCCACATCTCATGCCTGTGTCCTCACACACTCCCAGGCTGTGGTACAATCATGTGGAAGCAACTGTACATACAGTAACTACTACTGAGCATGGCATGTACTGTATTAACTTTCAGTGTTACTGTAATGATATACAGTAGACCCTCACCAACCGTGGATTTCCCATCTGCGGCTTCCATTTATCCACGACTTTTACTCTGTATACCATTTCACCAATCACGCCACTGAATTTCAAGTATCCGTGGATTAGTGTGGCATCTTTATCCCTCCGTGGTCTAATGCATTCCACCATAAATGTGAGGAATGAATAAAAATGATACTAATAAATAAAAAATAAGAAAAATACAGTACTGCATTACCATTTGGCAATCATTTCACTATGAACATGGGAGACAGGAGCGTGCCCCCTCCTCCCACGATCGAGGGCTAACTCCCACCGACAAAATAAATGTTTATTCTCTATGTTTTTGGCCTTGTGATAATTATCCCCCCCCCCCACATTCAGCATGATTGTGTGTGCATGTAACAAAATTAAAAAAAATAAATAAATAAAATTATGTATATATCTAACCGAAAATACAGGTTGAAAATTAGCAACATAATTTGGCCTGGTATGGGAAGAGCTTGGAGGATGTTGCTACAGGTACAGTCTAACTTGGCAGCTGCCAAGTCTACACAAACACATTCACTTCACACACGTACACACCCATGCTCTTCATTTTTCTTATTTTCTAGCAACACGCCGTCTCCATGGAGATGTACTGTAAAATTTATATTAGCATTTAATTTATTTTAAGCTATTTATATGTATCTGACCCAAATTTAAATAAATGTACAATGCAGGTACTGCTTAGTGCAGGAACAGGCAACTTAATTAAGCTTTGATGAGTGTTATCTGCAGCCATAGAACGTAAGCTCCTATTTCCCATAAGCCAACCACGGGTTTTTCAGGAATTTAATCCCTGGGGTTGGTGAAGGACTACTGTACAGTGCTTTTCATACAGCAGATTAGTAAAAATTAGTAAAAGTATTAATCCATTCCAGTACAACAAAACATATTTTATTTTACCTACCTACAGCCACAGGATATACACAAATATTTGTATTAGTTATAATAATGTTATTATAGTACTGTACCTATTGGGCAACGCTCTTCATCTGTGTTATCAGGACAGTCATATTGACCATTACATCTTGCCTGACGTGGCACACAAGACCCATCTCCACAAGTCCACTCATCAGTGCGACAAGCTTTTTAAAAGAAAAAGTAACATATATTATTAAAATAATATTAGTTAACTAGACTATTACTAAAGGTAATGTAAGCCCCATCAAAAATTTTAAGGCAAACAGGTGCCGCTAACAAACAGCAGTTGACGCCCCTCCCACTTCCATCCCCTTTCATTATTTACCAAACTTACATCCCTCTTCATTACTTTTACTTTCACCTATAATACTACCACATCCCCAAAAAACACTACAAAACCACATTCTTGATGTGGTCTTACTTCCACTAGAAACCACTGTCCTTTTTTTCTCAGTGAAACTAAGAATTCCCATTTTATCTCACCCTCGTATGGTCTTTCCATGCAAATAACATTGTTTACAATCCCACCTGCATCAGTAACTGGACGGTTTTACCAATTTTGTAAACACTGGGTAGAGTGATTGAGACCCAAATTGCACTCTCAGATATGCATCTACCAGCCCATGAGGCTAGTGGAAGGAGTTAAGGTGGTTGAGAGGGTCAGTCCACTGTTCCCACATTTCTACTTATGGGAGGGAGGGTGCTTTCATTGTGAGATACAGCAGAGTGGAAGGAGTTGCACCAGCACGAGAGCACTTAGCAATGCAATTTGTATCAAAAGACCATGAAAGGATTAATCCACTACAATTATTACATACCAGTACAGGTATACAGTACACATATTCACATGGATACACAATGTTACCAAAACAATGATTTACAAATTATGTTGTGGTAAATTAGAAACAAAGCAAACTTAAATACAACATATCAAATACTGTAATAACTTTACAGTCTATCTTAAGATATGGAAGGCAATAAAAAAATGTATGGGGTAAATTGTAATTTGCTGAAAGCCACCAATTGTTTAATACTGTAGTGAAGTATAAAAAGAAAGTACTAGAAATACATTGAGGATGTGTAGTGTTGCCACAATTATTAAATACTTTCATGGATAGGGTAGAATGAGTGGTGAAAATGAGGGTAGTAGGAATAAGTTTAGTAAACACAAATACAGAATACAAATGGAAAGTAAGTCACCTGCTATTTGCTGTTAATACTGCCTTGGTGGGTAGATAAAAAGACATGTTGCAATGAGTTTTGAAGAGCACATACAGTACAAGGAGAAAAGTTAATAGTGTATGTGAACATAAGTTAAAATAGATACAAATATTACATTTCAATCGATATAAAGTGGAGGAAATGTCATGTTTCAGATATTTGGGAGTGGATAAGTCAATATACACAATAATGGCCCTTGAATTAAATCAATTCATATATACAGGTAACAGAGTGAAACACATTAATTTGTGCACTAGGAAATGTATAGAGAGTGAGAAATGTGTGCAAGAAAACAAAACTGGTGACATAATGAGAAATCATTGAGCTGATATTACAAGTAAGGGTGAAATATGGCATCTAGATACTTGAGGAAGAAATACATTACAAGCCACAGAAATGGTGTGCAGAACATTATTTAGGGTGAACAAAATGTAGAAAATAGAAAACATTAATTAAAGATATGGAAATTAGAGAGGTGCTGTACAGAGTTGACCAGGGTAGTATGGACAATAAATAAAAAGTGAAAGATTGGAGATAGAGGAAAAAGTATAATGTACAGGTATTACAAGCGAGGGTTATGACATCTTGGAAGCAATAGCATATGTGAATGATAGAAGAGCATGGTAGTCAGGAGGTTTAGGGGATAATATTCAAGCCACTTCATCATTAAAACCATTTTACTTGCTCATAATGCACAATAAGCTTTAAAATTTCCAGTTAGCTATTTTCTTTGTTTAAGAAGTTGGAAATACTACTTTGAGTTAATGTAAACTCATGCAAAGTTTAGTGAAAAAATCCCTGTAATGACACCATGAGAAGAACTATTAAATATAATATTGCCACCAATTGGCCATTTTTAATATGTAAACACTTAAGTTACATACTGCTTGTCATGCTTTGAACCTGTACCACGTCAGAAGCACAAATGTTCCTTAGTTCTGTGTAAAGAGCAGTAATATATCTGAAGTGGGAACCAACAGACAGATAAAGAGCAATCCCAGTGTACTCCAGAGAAAATAGTAAGGGTCTAATAAGCACTAGGTATGTTACTGACCTACTGGTGGGCAGTTCTCCTCATCTGATTTGTCAAGACAGTCTGGTACTCTGTTACAGTGGTGAGACTGTGGTATACAGGATCCATCCACACAAGTCCATTCTCCTGGGCCACAAGCTAAGAAAAAAAATCTCTTGTTTATAGTTACAATGATAAAAATACATTAACATTAATATTCCAAGAGTAGAATTATTCAATCTCTTAATAATAACAGCTGGTCTTTTGTTTCAAAAGCACCAGTTCTTCTAAAGAATTCACTAGCGGTTGTAACACTACAAAGTTAAAGACTTGAAAATAAAAAGAATATTGCACTACAATAAAAAACAAAAAGTGACAGTTCAACTTCTATCATTCATATACGGTACCCTTAAGTTTTGATTCTTCTATACAGGTACCACAATTAATCATGCATTTTTTCCTGAAAAGTGAATAACTCTGTAAACTCCTACATAAAATGAAGCATTAATGTGGAGACCCAAGGATACGGAGTAAAAAAAAAAATAAAGGCACAAATTAACGAGTTGTTTTATTTCCAAGTAAACATAATAAATACATATACCTTGTCATATATAGCCTCGCTTTATGCCATTTCATTTATATGTCGTCAATGAATTAGAGTAAGAAATAAAAAATAAAATATGGGAAAGCAGTGGACTGCCTTAGAATGCTGAAAAATTGCTGAATTCCTCTGCTATGCCCCATTCCCTGCATCAGTCTACCCACGCCTGCCATACAGTATTTCCTCAATTTAATGAACTAACTCGAGCCATCCGTCATGTTCGCTCGATTTGCTGAACTATTTCGCTAAATCGAGCGTGATTCTGTTAAATTCCGCGCCAAATGCATCGCTTGGAATGTGGGGTTTGCCTCCATCCACTCAGTCTGTGTCCTGCCACCACCGCATGAGTTGTTCACTGCTACCTTTCAGTCAACTAACTACTGTGCTTCGCCATCATGCCAAATGAATCCCGGAAGTATCAAAAAGTAAGTGGTGTGGAGGAGAAAATGAAAAAAAAAATGCAGCTAACAACTGGACAAAAGTTAGAAACAATAAAAAAATGAAAAAGGAACATCTGTGGTTGCTCTTATGACGGAGTACATCATCATACGCCTGGCAACGGGAGCGAGTGAGTCAAGTGACCGCTAGTTGAGCGTTGTCTACTTTTTTAACTCTCCTCCCTCCCTGCCATATTTCACTGGATTTACTGTTATTATTAGTGTTTACTGATATAATAGAGCTTAATAGTGATTAATCATGGCATTGTAGCCAGGTTAGACTAACCACTATAACCACCAGGCTACTGGGACAAGCTGTGAAGTGTTATTGTTGTTTTTCAACTTGTATTTTTGGGTAGATATATGTAACTTTCTTCATTTATTTTTAATTGGTTACATACACACACCATCCTACATCATATTGTGTAGTAAAAGAAATAATTGTCATAAGGGCAAACACGCAAAGGAAATATATACATTTATTTGCACATGAGTTAGCTGGCTCAGTGAGGGAGTGTAGGGGTGGGGAGCATTGTTAAGAAATTGGCATCCCAGCCGGTCTTCATTACTATGGTGAAACAGGGAGTGTATGCAGATGCCAACTGTGTTAAACTTTAATTTGGCTTTCATTTACCAATTTAGCAATATTGTACAATATTTTTGTTGGTATTATTTTTATTTATTCATCACATTTCCTGGTACTGTATATAATATTTTAAGAAAACTATGGCTACAAGAAGAAAGTAAACATGAAAGTTTGTTCCTAAATATCATTATTTATCGTTTCTATACATTTATCACGTTCACCGTATGCTAAAGTAGGTTTCACTGTATTATGTAACTGAGATATCGCCATAGGTGTGAGCGTATTAACAGAATTAATCTCGATTTAGCAAGCTAGTTCACTAATCGAGCAAAAAATAATAGAAAAAATGCCTTCCGCTAAATCACGAGTTCTTTATATCGGATGCTGTTAAAGCGAGATTATACTGTATTTGCCTGGTCATATGAGGCATTGCAAGTAGCAAGGGGGCGAGCTTACCAAATGTGAGAAAATCTGTTTTCTATGGTTCCTGGTAGCTCAAACTGTGCTCTTTCATTTGCAACCCAGGAACACAGGATTCTTGCCCTTATCCCCCGTCAAATTAAGTTGAAAGACACATACCAACTGAATACATGCAGTTCTATGTGGACCTGGTGATTGAACAGGAGGCACAGGATGCTGCAGCAGCTGTCAACTATGAGGTTTCATCGGATGACAACGTGCTGGGTTATTAGTCTCCCCCACCCCCCTTCAGGCAAGCAGAATGTCATGGCTGCTTATGATGAGTGTGACTGTTTCAATATTACCTATTCTGACTGTTTTTTATGTCATCTTGATTAAAGTTCAGCAAATTGTAAATCCATCTCATAAAATATTTTATTATTTTGTATTACTACTGTACAGGTAGTTTTTACCACCAGCGATCAGGCATATTTTTCAGACATACTCATAACGTATTATCCCAAAACCTAAAAAAAAAAGACAAAAATTATGATATTTCCTAAAAATTTGCTTGAGTTATGGACCAAAATAAGTTAAAAAAAATCTTATGCGTTTATCTCAAAACATTGTTTTAGTCAGCTCGCCCTTGCTACTCACAATGCCTCATATGTATAAAGAGGGAAAAAAGTTTATCAAGACTATACAAAAAGGAGTGAAAAATAATTGGCAAGTGCTTTTGTGCCTCAGATAAGAGATAACCAAGGAAAAGTATTAATCTAGACATTATTATTAGATGTTTCTGGGATTCTGATGCTGGTGAATGAACCATAATCATTACCAGAGTGCTTGGTCTACCGGCCACATCAGTGAGAATAATTTGTGATAAAGGAAACAAAATTAAAGAAAACGCTCAAAGTATGACATCTCTAACGGCTCCTACAAAAACTTGTAGCAGATATGGCATTATGGAAAATATGAAGACTTAGATGAAAAGGTAGACAACCATGCAATGTCATCTCAATAACTTCATCACTCCCTATCCCAGCCAGCCTCTATATATATAGTCTCCTCAACCATAGAAGGTAAGTGTTATCTCATTGAGATATATTTTATATCAAAGTAATAATTCCACCTTCAAATTATATTTTAGATATCTAATTAATATTTTGGAGAGGAAATTTTTACCTATAATGACTGGCAAGAATGTAATTCTCATTTACATAATTAGGTCTAAGGTAAACTTGTGTTCACTATATGTCATTTCACGTAACATTGCACTTTTCAAAAATACATGTCCAGCATATAGCGAGGTATACCTGTACAGTCCTTCAAAAACTATTTTGAGTTCTGCAGTTTGATCTTCAGTACTTAAAATGACTTACAGAAGGTCAGTTCAAACAATTTTCTGGAATTAGCTTTTGTTTGCATCACTGTCTTGTGAATGATACAGAAGATTACTTGAGCAAATCCCCATCCACTCTATCGGACAATTACTTGGACTTCCATACCTCCTAATTTTAGTATTTCTTAATTTCTGCAACCTATTCACCCCTCAGTTTAACTATTAGAAAGATTCAACAGACTATAATAGTACAATTATTCAAGTTGCTAATTCATTAATGAATCTTGCTTCAATGTGGCTTGTAGTAAAGATATTTTTTATGACCTCACCAACATAATCACCTGAAGTATGGTCATTGTATACGGATTAATGCTTTACATACGTTTGATATGGCACTCTTCTTCATCTGAATTGTCAGGGCAGTCATATTGTCCATCACAGACATTTCGTTCTGCCACACACGATCCATCTCTGCAAGTCCATTCATTTGGTCGACAGACAACATCTACAGGGTAAAATCATGCATATTACACATCATATTAATTTTCAATTAAATTAATTCATAAAAATTCAACTTTCACAAGCACAATACTCTATATATTATTTACAGTTATTCAAGTACAAGTATGACTAACCATTCTATGAATACAATGTTACTAACCAATAGAACAGTTTCCTTCATCGGAGCGATCAATGCAGTCTGGATTTCTGTCACAAACAACTTCTGATGGTACACAGGATCCATCTAAACAAGTCCATTCCCCTTCTCCACAGGCTAAATAAATCAGAATATTTTATCTAAGATTATAGAAGCACATTAAATTGGACCTCTGCATTACACAGCCCTCCAATACATGCAAATATAAAAAATCTTTTGTCTTGTATAATACTTTGTTAAATATTGTTAATAAGTCAAATCTACATAACAGGCTAAATAAAGACCATAATAACATGCAATAAAACTATAATACTATCTAACAAATTAAAGTGCATGATAACTAGGTCTTCACAATGTCAAAAATACATTGAGCTACATAAGCATGCAGAAATATCTCTAATTATGGTGTAAATATGAGCTTCACAATTCACATTAAATACAATCCAATCTAACAAATTTCAGGATATACAATACTGTGTATCTCCAAATATTCAAAACAATAAATATCTTATTACAATAACAATATAAAGATATGACATCATAAAATTTTGTGCTGTAATAGGCATAGCACTAATTATGATCCTTTTACAACAGTATATGTTACTTGCTGAACACATGTTAACCATTTGAGTGCATCATAATATTTCCTGGGCATTCTCAAATGTTGCATTTATGCAATGATTATTATTATTTTATTTTTATCACTTGACTTGTACTTAAAAAGAATGAGATCTCCAATTTGGCACTCAAATTTCTTGTCATGATATTACCTTATGAAAGACTAGGTTTTTACCATCAAAATTTGCCCCTCTTCTACAGTTACTATTGGGCCTAATCTAATTTAGAGTCATATTTATTATATAATAATTTATGAATTATGAGAAACCAATAATATCGTCTTTTTTTATTCATGGAAAATGGGAGACAATATTAGAGGAGAGAGATTTTTTTTATGGAGGGTAGCATTACTGCATCTGTGACACCCAAAGGGTTAGAGATGATACCTTCTACAAAGTGACATTAATAAAACCTTTAATTATAAATAAGAAGTACAGTATACATATGAATATACTTAATTAGTAACATACACTGAAGATTTAGGGAAATTTTCAAATTTGTGAAGATACATATCTCATTTTGAAACCTCTAAATGTTGTACTAAACAGCTCTGCAACTTGCTATCACATTTTACAGTAAAATTAAATAAATTAGTTTTGATTTTACAAGATGCTGTTACAGTGTCTTCATAGAACAATTATTTAAAATTAAGAACTACTGTATACAACCTTTATTTTCATTTTCCTTAATAGTGTACATGCTATATACCAAATACCATAAGAAAACAAGTAACATTATCTACTTTGTGCAGTGTTCCTGTCTCGTAGGTGACCGACCTGCACCAACAATTGCATAAACACAAAACTAATACTGTTCTGTATTTACAAAGACAACACCAACAGTAATGGGAAACAATCTACTTTCTTAAGAAAAAAATTTCATGCTGTAGTCAAAATGCATAAACCATTAATCTTACCACTGTATTTGTGTCGTTCTACAACGTCTAAAGCATACACCATTAACATTTCTACTTTATGAATACAGTAAAAGCATTCTAACATACAGTACTCTATACTGTATTCCTAATAATAATACAATGTTTGGTTGCTACTAATAAGTTGGCCATACTGACTAGATCAGTTCAACTCTACAATGCCAACTGTTGGTGCCAAGCCACATGCATATATGCTTGCATTTAAGAAGTATTTTGGCTTGTAAAAGTGGTGGATCCAGAACCTCAAGAATTTCAAGAAAAACTGAATACCTGGTAACTATTAAACATATTTACATCCTCATCACCATCCCATACATTAGCATTCTTCTCACATGTTCTTGCCATCCCAGACACTCTACCATCACCCAATCCATCTCACTGTAAGCCAAACCCTCTGCCCTCCCACAGCCATTTTAACACTTCATAACTACTCACTCCTTCCACTATGTTAACCTTAGATGTGGCACACATTACTTATCTTAGTAACTTAAATTTTAGAGCATTCTACTTTATCCTTGTCCTTGTTTCACCTGCAAACTTACATTCCATCATTGAATAATAATTTGCAACTAGTAAATTACATTTTTCCATGTACAGTCTCGTTCAAGGTTCTTCTAACACTGCTGGAGACAGCTGGACCCTCAAGGCTGTTTGTTTACTACAGTACGTAGTATAATATAATATGAAACAACGGAGCCCAACCATTAAATTAAGCAATGGGGTAACTAACCAATCACTGATCACTTTTACATTTATTCATAATTTTTACTACGTACTATAGTAAACAAACGGCCTTGAGTTGCCAGCTGTCTCCAGCAGTTCGATGAATCTTGAACAAGACTGTACAGTATTGTTCTCTTCCTATTTTTATTCTCCATCATATCTTTTAACATAGTATCACTCCCCATATTTGAATTATTAAACCTGCTCTAGTATTTCATTTTTCAATACCTTGCATTTTCAGTTCATTCAATTCTTCTCTATATGGTTTACCAATCTGTCAACTGAAAAATTTGGGACTGAGATAGTTCTGTATAATAGATAATTACATATAGTGACTGTCGTGAACATGTGTCCATGGAAAGCATGTAATAAACCACAGTGTTTGTGTCAATTAGGCTATACAATACAGTATACAGTGGGGTATGCTATAACGAACGGATCCTACTACGAATATTCCTATAACGAACGGTTTTACCTATAAAATTGAGAATGCTATAACGAACGAAACTCCTACAACGAACATTATTTAAAAAAAATTTTTTTTTTTTTACTAATTTATTGTTTTTTTATTACAAGTATTAATGATATTGGTTATTTCAGGGGTTTAGATGCATATTTATGCACTTTTTTACAATTTTTACAATTTTATATTATATTTTTCAGTGTTAAGTGGTTGTATTTGGTGGCCTGGAACGGATTAATCCTATAACGAACGAATGCTATAACGAACAAGGTTCTAGAACCAATTAGATTCGTTATAGCATACCCCACTGTAATTAGTTTCTTTAAATATCTGTACACTAACTACATTATTTTCTAATGCTGTCAATGCTTTTAACTCTACAAATAAGCTTTACATGTTTCATCATTTTCCTACAATCAACATATAACTTAATCCTTAAACTCATGTGAAGACACCCAGTCACTGACCCTGTTGCCTGATTGTCCTATTTCTCCTCATTTACGGTACTCTCATGTCATGTGGAAAATTAAGTAAAATATATTTATTCAATAATCTTAAATTTCACATTTAGAATGCTCAAATCTCCCATTTAATAATAATTTCGCAAGTTAGGTTTTCAGGAACGCAACTCCAATGTTAAACAAAGGATACCTGTCACTGATTTTAGCTCCTCTATAGATATTTCATAATATAAGCCAATCTGTCCTCCCTTTTTTATCCCCAACATGAGATTTTTGCCTCTTTTCCATCAATAAGTACCAATTAACTCTTCAAAATATCCCTACCTCCTATGTAATATAACAGCTGCTTCTCTTAACACTCTTCCAACTACTGTATATTTCTTATTATTCTACAATGACTTCTTTCCTCTCATTTCTACTAATCTTTCATAATGCTGAATAGTTTTCTAGCATACTCAAAATCACTAAATTTTCTACTTAATTCTTCGGTCTTTCCTTCCTTACAGTCTCACTCCACCTTCTTCACCCGTTTCCTCCTTTCTTGTTCCACTATTGGTAAATTTTATCTAAGATGTTTCTTCATCCTTAAGTATTTTCTTTCTTACTACCAACTCTTACTTGTGTGTTCCAGCATGCATCTCCCCTTCATTTATTTTTAATTTACTTCCACAATCAAATTCCAATGTCCCTTTAAACATTTATTTACAACCTTCTTCCTCTTCTAATACTTCATTTAATTTCCCCAATTTCTGGTAGTATTCTTTATTAGTTTCTGCCTATTTATATGAAATTCTAAAGAAACCTCATAGCAAAATAAAGTCACCAAAAAGTGCATCCAGTATGGGAAGGTCAAAATACAGTTACCTTATATTTCTGTAGTTCCAGTTGTGTTGCTTTTTAACACAATTTTTAGATGGTATCAAAACTATCCCAGCCTTCTGTAATTTACATTCCTCTTGATTCTTCATCAGGTACAGTACTGGACACCAATAACATCTTGCACAGAGACATTGCTTCCTACTTTACAATATACATTACACTGACACAGAATACAGAAATTATATGCATGTGTTACTTATTTTCTGTAGGATTAAAATATGTTTCTGAAAAAAGAATAGACATTAAGCTACCTCTTATCACTCACCAATTCAGATACCAATTACATGCTCAATATACTAGTTAATAAGCATGATCTAAAATAAAAATAAAATATCGCATATGGGGTTCCTGCATACTTATATTTAGCTCGCATTAACAATAAAATATTGTAGTGAATCGACTTCAAATATAAAAATTTCACCAAAATAATCTTAACCAGAAGGAAGACATCACTTAAAAATAACTACAGTGCACAGTGGTGTTACTCTCTCTTCTGACAAATGGCAGCTTGTAGACCTGAAAGAGGGAAGTCCTGTGAGTAGAAAACAAACAGACATATTGGTACTCACGACAGCCAGATTCATCAGATTGGTCAAGGCACTGGTTAGTCCCATCACATCGATAAGCGGTCTCAATACAGTTTCCATCATCACACATGAATTTGCCCTGCGGACACATCTGCCCCGCTGTGGATTACAAAACATGTACATCAGTTGCAAGTATGGGAAAGAGAGGTGTAATAATAATAACAGTAATAAAAAAAAATTACAGTATAATAATAATAATAATAATAATAATAATAATAATAATAATAATAATAATAATAATAATAATAATAATAATAATAATAATAATAATAATAATAATAATGCCAATTTGCATATTTTCTACATTACATACAGATTAATCCACATGCCTTTTTCCATCATCAACTTTCCTCAATTAAAACAAGGTGATGCATCATTGATCATCTATTTAACATTATGGCTTCCAACCATGTCTTGACCCTTAACACTCCCAATGTACTGAAAACCCAAAAGAAAGACACAGTTATATCATGTATGATGGATATTAAGAATGTCCCCTGGCTGTAGAGTATACTGTATAGGGGAAATAAACTAAATGAAAATGTGTTCTGTAAGAGGCGGTTAAGTATGTGTTAATTGGCGAGGCTTGAGAATCCATGCTGGTTGCGTTCAGAGGATGTAAACAAAAGTCAGATGAAATGTTCTGTAATTTTCATTTGTATGTATAAAAGATAAGTACAGGTACCAGCAATACCAGTAATAAAATTAAGGCCTTTCAATAATAAATATTATAAAACCTTCATTGGGGAATTGATGGATGTAGAGTCCCTGTTGGTTTCCATTGCTATGGTGAACCTGGGAGTACTATAAGCAAATGGTGGCTGTGTTACTCTTTCATTTGGTTTTCATTTACTGGTTTGGCGATAAGGTATTTTTTTTTAACTTATTTATTGGTATTATTTTTATTTATTCCTCACATTTACTGATACTGTATATATTAGTTTAAGAAAATTATTGCTACAGGAGGAAAATTCACACAAAAGTTTTTCCCAAATACTCCCTGCCTATATGGCTGTGCTTCTTACATGCCATAAAATATGGTCGTTCACAGCTCAGCCTGACCCACTCTGAGTGCTACTGGGTGGAGTCGGCGACACAGTTAAATTCCACTGCCTCCACAAGCCCATACATACGATCACTTGCCACATATACAAACCCATGCTCTATTTTATAGTTTTATTAATATTGTATATTCTTTATTTCTAAGCTGCATTAGAGTTTTTTAATGAATATTCCAAAACTTTTTAGTTTCATTACATGTAACAACAACAACAAACCATGTGCACGGACAGTATTCTTCATTATCCCTCATTTCAGATAGTAATCCTTGTTTTCCCTAGTTTAACGATAATTTCACTTAATGTTAGGTTTTTCAGGAGCGCATCCCCATCATTAAATGAGAGATACCTGCACTGGAAATGGATTTTTTTACATTAAACAATTTAATTTGGGTATTTTTCAATAATTTAGATTTCAATAATATTTTGTCCGATCCACTGATGTAGCACTGTAAATAAAAGATTGAGTAAATTCTCTATTGATGCAGCACAAAAAAAAAATTAATAAATTTTAACAATGACATTCTCTCACTCACTAAAACCACTGCTTGTTACAACAAACAGCTGTTTCAGGTTTTAGTTGTGTTAATACTCTTAGAGACATTTTTACAGTAAACATGATTTTATATTTGAAATTTTTCTAAATTTAAAAAAAAAAAAAAAAATTGGCATTGATTAGTGTGGGCAAAGACAATTGAAGGTTACAGGTTAAGATGTGTGGAAACAGCACTAGATGCCTGTGTTATAACATCAGGTTCCATGACTCACACTGCATGTCAACGCCCATCCTACTTTTAAGTATTTAATGCCATGTCTGTGCAATGTTGTACTGTACAAGAATGTTATATTGTTTTTAAGTTATGTAATTTGTAAAAAAAAAATTATCATTGCAATTAAACAATTGTATCATATATTAACTTACCATCAAGTAAATTCCTGTACAATAATACCAAACAGTTTTGTTTAATGATATGCAGTGTACAGTAGTTATGTATAATGTATCCAATTAAAATTTTCATTACACACTCCTATACATACCTACTGCATTTGTAAATGAGTGCAAAACACAAATCTAAATATTCATTTTTTTTTAAGGTTATCCAACTTCTGTGTATTTCACTAAAATTCTTTGGGTGAACTACTCAATACAAGTTTTAAGGAAAATCTTTTTGTACATAATGGGTTCGGTACCCAGCCGCTTCGCAAAAATGGGATTTTACTGTACTGGGGTAATTCATATCTGGAAGGATATTTGGAATACAGTACTGTGCCTCATTTTTGGGACCCCCCTTCCCCTGATTAGTCCAAATAATCAATGCTCTACTATACCTATACTGCATATCAGAAACTAAACTGCAGCTTTTAACATCAAAAGCTTTGACCTTTGCCTAGAGAATGCAAATGAAATTTCTATCCCTAGGAGCAAAGTAATGTGCCTATGAAAGATCATGTTCACTGGTGTATGAACACTCAACTTACAATAATGACCGCTTTATGTCTACATGGTAAACAGTACCACTGACTAGAAGTCCCCTAAACCTTTTCAGTTGACGGTAGATAAAAAATATTGGGTAAAACCCTTAAGAATTCCCTTGGTAGAGTTCTGTATACTGAACTGAAATTTCTAAATGAGGAGAATGGGGTTTTAGTTCCTGGTCTTTACATTTTTATCATACACTTTGGAATATATATTGAATATTCATTATTGACCTGAACATTTTTATAATGCAAAATAGCCATCCTTGCCTTTAAGATACAATTTAACTACTGAAGTGAGTTATAATTTAAGCATAATAACTTAAATGGAAAAAAGTCATACACCATATCAAGAATCAAAGTAAATTGGTACACAACTATCAATTGCAAGCAACAGGAACAGCTATTGGCATTTTTAGAATCAATATTTATCTTGTGTTATTATTATGACTGTACACTGGTGAGGAACTTGAAAGTGATTGAGTGTACTTACCTCAGCAAGAATTAGTGAGACTTGGTTATATTACGTAGTTTAAACTTATCATAAGAGTTGATACATTTTATGAACATTCATAACAGGTGAAACTTTCTTCATTATAGCAGTAGTGAACCATTTTACTTTCATTATAACAGACGTACAAAACAAGCTGAATGACATGAGTTTGATTTTATTTTAGGATATGATTGAACCCTTTAACAAATCACAAGATTCCACCTTAGAAAGAATGACTGACTAAATTGGCCAAGCTCCATGACAGATTTTTTTACAATTAATGGTACAGTACTTACCCTCTAATATTACTCATATTTACTGAAAACTATGAATACTTACAACAATCATATTCATCATACCCATCAGAACAGTCTTTGAAACCATCGCAGAGTTTCTCATCACTTAGGCAAGTGTCCCCATTGTCACATTCGAACATGCCTGACCCCTCACATTCTGTATAATGAGGTGTATGCAAGCATGCAAAATACAGAGGTAAATGGTAGCAAGGGTCTTTTTTTCCAGCTAATGAAATATCATTATTTCTTATTCTGTGGATAGCATAGATTGAGAGAAAATCCCTGATACAGTAATAAGCATTTTGATATGCAGTACAATATATTATACATATTTTTGGGGCATTATTTAACTAACTCTTATTCAATGTCAAGCACTGTTGTTTCACTCTTTTCCAATGAGAAATAATGAATGATGACAGGAAAAATATCTTAACATGGACTTCAGAATGAGTGAACTGTACATTTAACTACGTATAATATTTATTCATTAATTACTTAGTATCACCTACTGAGAAGTATCTCATTTATCTCTTTGTTTAATAAAGACTCCTGAGACAACTAATGTTGAATATAACATGAAACAGTACTTAAAATCTAATTTAGAAAAGTGAGACTTGAAAAAATTTACAAGAAAATGCCTCCAACATTTCCTGAACCAATTTTGATTCTGATAATTGTTTAATGACAAAAACAATTTTCACATTCATTCTGCATTCATCTGTATGTAAAATAGACTTGATTATCAGATTTAAGGTCAGATCGCCTCTGAAACTGAAGTTACATGTGAAGATAGTGAAGTGAAATCTGCAACATTATCCATGTTATCCAAGATCACAATCAGGTAGTGCCCACAAGTATGAAGCTCTCAGGAATAGTTTAATTTGAAGTTAAATTCTTTTTTTTTTCTTTAAATGAACACATACAAATGTTATAAGTTGGTAAACCTGTTGTGTGTAATACCTAGAAGGGGTAAATATAAAACAATACCCATCATATCTTATCTCAATAATGATTGGCTGAACAGATATATGGCTGGTATATAACACGACCCTTATGATGTGTTCAAAGAAAATGTGCAGCAAATAATTTATTAATATTTTGCACTGCAAATAACTGATAAAATTAATATAATGCTTGCATAACAACAAAAACTATGGATATTTGAATTTTGCTATTATTACATTCAAAATGTAGATAATCAAGTCTACTATAACTTCCCTCCCCCTCCATTCATTATACTGTATATATATATATATATATATATATATATATAATATATATATATATATATATATATATATATATATATATATATATATATATATATATATATATATATATATATATATATATATATATATATACATATTATTAACCTCACTTAACCTTGTCAATTGAATTAGAGGTGCGTTAAGGAAATCCTATATAACAACAGAACATATGGATTAATTCAGAGAAACCGCCCACCCCAAACTCCACTTTTGAAGGCACACATACCTATGTTGTAGTAAAATAACATCTTAATTTTATGATGGTACATGCACACAATTAATACTTAAGAGAAATAGAGAAATACAGTCGCCAAGTTAATGTCCATTCAAATAATGGACTCAACTCCTCCCCCTCTCACACTACACAGCCAGCTAACAGATGGTCGGTCGGTCCCTCCCTCCCACACCCCCCACCAACCGTCCCAAGGAGATGTGTGGGATAACCTCAAACTAAAGTTAGGAAAATATAATTGACATTGCTGGATTCCTTGTAAGACCAGGAATATTTTGAATATAAATGTCATATATTTTGCACAAAAGATAACATAGTTACCTAGAGAAAAATTTTTATCTAAAAATTGTAAGTTTAAAGCAAAATATATGATGTTTATATTCAAAATGATCACCAAATTATAAGAATTCCAGCAATGTAAATTATATTCTGACCGGGTAATTTGTATGAATTTTATGAGCTAAAACAAATATCTTCAGTTAATAAAAAAAAAATAATCTTCACACACTATCTGTCAAAGTACCCCACCTTGCCTCCCCCCTCTTCCAACCGCGCGGTCAGTCCCAACCCACCCCCCACCAATCCTCCCTTCCAGAGTTTTTAACATTTAGTATTAAATAATACCTCAGATTAAAGTTAGGATAATATAATTGACATTGCTGGATTCCTTGTAAGACCAGGAATATTTTGAATATAAATGTCATATATTTTGGACAAAAGATACCATAGTTACCTAGAGAAAAATTTTTATCTAAAAATTGTAAGTTTAAAGCAAAATATATGATGTTTATATTCAAAATGATCACCAAATTATAAGAATTCCAGCAATGTAAATTATATTCTGACCGGGTAATTTGTATGAATTTTATGAGCTAAAACAAATATCTTCAGTTAATAAAAAAAATAATAATTCTTCACAGGGTAACAGATGGTCGGTTGGTCCCTCCCTCCCCCCCACCCCCCACCAACCGTCCCAAGGAGATGTGTGGGATAACCACTAAATTTTAATAAATAATACCTCAAACTAAAGTTAGGATAATATAATTGACATTGCTGGATTCCTTGTAAGACCAGGAATATTTTGAATATAAATGTCATATAATTTGGACAAAAGATACCATAGTTACCTAGCGAAAAAATTTTATCTAAAAATTGTAAGTTTAAAGCAAAATATATGATGTTTATATTCAAAATGATCACCAAATTATAAGAATTCCAGCAATGTAAATTATATTCTGGCACTGCTAATTTGTATGAATTTTATGAGCTAAAACAGGCAGTCAGGCAGGGTGGCGGGTGGGGCAAATCTAAAAATAGCGTTTCGAGCCGGACATTCACCGCGTATATGTGGAAAAAATCCGCGTTAAGTGAAAGTTCAGCTTTGGCAAGGCACCGCGTATATGCGAAAACGCGTTAAGTGAAACCGCGTTAGGCGGGGTAAAACTGTATATATATATATACACACACACAGTATAGTCTGGATTTACGAGGTTTTTGTTTACGAGTTTGGTCATTTACACGGTGCCTTGCCAGAATGAAATGTTTTAATTACGCGATAAATTTGGTCATTTACACGCCGCGCCATTTTTTACCCACACGGTCCATTCTTGACCATACACGGGAAGCGGCACGGTGAGTGGTGCGCATTAGGCCGCTCTTACGTTATTGCTGATGTCATATGATGTATCGGACTGTGATTGGGCCATGCATCCTTACCACCCACGCATTCCCTCCGCCGCTAGCTGTGATTGGTCTTATGTAACATGACGTGTCCTGCCACCAGAGGGTAGAAGTCGCTGACCTAGCCGGGCCTGTCTCATTGTTCTCAGTCCGCGTATACAGTTCTCTCTTGTGCCCACTATTCCCCTCACAATGGCTTCCGCTGGACCCCCACCACCCGAGAAAAACCTTGAATTACCTGGACCAAGCCATGATAATGTGAAGGAAATCATCGAGTTGGGGGAGAAAATTAAGCTCATCCTTGACAAGCATCGGTATGAAGTGTCTAATAACCTACTGTCGAAAGTTATGGAGCCGTATATCCAGATCTATCTCGACAACATCAATGCTGGTCGTCAACGTAGTATTGAGTACTTCCTCGCCCGCAACCCACCACAATCACAGCCAGCCCAAGTCAGTGATAGTGACAGTGAGGATATGGACTTCGAGGGGTTTGTCTGGGAGGCCCTGCAAACCTCTGCGAGTAGTGAAAGTGATTCACCGGAGGGCAACTAATCTGCCCTCTGCCTCGGAACCAGCCGCCATCCATTTATGCCGACCCAGCTTTTCTACTAACGTAAGTGTTAAAAAACCTACTGTTATTGATATTTCTCTTAATTATTAATTGTGTGTGCATACCATCATAAAATTAAGATGTTATTTTGACTACAAGGTGCGTATTGTGTCGGAAAAAGTGGAGTTTGAGGGTCGGCCCAGTCTCTATTTCAATTAATCCCATATGTTCTGTTATTTCGTTTACGCGTTTCTCGTTGTACGAGTTCCTCCACGGGTTCAATTGACCGCGTAAATGCAGACTATACTGTGAATATATATACAGTATATATATATATATATATATATATATATATATATATATATATATATATATATATATATATATATATATATATATATATATATATATATATATATATATATATATATATATATATATATATATATATATATATATATATATATATGTTTCATTGTGAAATGAATAAATACAATACAAGTTACCAATTCATATATCCCTTCATTTGTTGTCATTCACTCTATCCTACTCTTGTACTGTAAACGATGTGCCCTGCAGTAAAGGTAGTCCTTCACTTATGGTGCCTCGCACAAACCAGCAACACCCTAGCAGCAGCATGTCATCCCATAAAAATCATTTAATGCCATGATCATTCAAGTGCACTGCTGCTTCTTGGACTTTCATCCTCTTCACTTCTAGTGTGACTTTCACTAATTACTTCCACTTACTCCTCCTTTTCTCCTGTCATTCTTTTCACCAACTTTTCTCATTTCATTCTCTCTATATGTACAGTCAACAAAAAAAATTCTGCACCCCTTGATTTGATGGCCCCTGCAACGATCACTGACTGAGACCGTGTTAATTTGGCAAGGATGGTATTTCTGGTTGTGTGATGCATTGTATAACCAGTATGATGTACTTTTTAAATCACATATAGTTAATACAGAGAAATTAATAGGAATCACCCGCATAAATGAGCATTGTTCAGAATTCTTGGTCCTGTGTGTCATATTGTATAACACCACAAAGGTGCAGAAATTTTTTTTGTTGACTGTACATACCACTTGAACAAACCCTGACCTGCCATCTTCCTGACACTTTTCACCTCTCACACTGTCAATTTATTTCTGGATTTTGTATTCTCTGAATCCTATTTCCCCACATATTTCTCTCAATCACATCATTTCTATTACTTTTTCTTGTCACTTTTTACTCTTGCATCTACTGTACAGTAGAGTCCATGATCCACACTCACATAATGGTGATTCTACTATTTCCCTGTATATCCTCATCATTCCCTCTCCTTGACATGGTTCTCTCTCCTCTGTGGTGCAATCTATCACACATTACTTCATCTGCTGACACAATCATTCCCTGATACTTGAAGCACTCCACTTACTCTAGCCTACATCTATTCAAGCTAATAATTTTACTTTACCTGTATATACTGTGTGTGTGTGTGTATATATATATGTATATATATATATATACTGTATATATATATATATATATATATATATATATATATATATATATATATATATATATATATATATATATATATATATATATATATATATATATATATATATATATATATAATATATATATATATATATATATATATATATATATATATATATATATATATATATATATATATATATATATATATATATATATATATATATATATATATATATATATATATATATATATATATATATACACAGTAGGCCTCGATTAGAACTCAATCCGTTCCAGAGGTGGATTACGTTAACCGAAAGATAACCGAACCCATTGTTTCAATGAGTTTTTGGTAGTGGTTCAGCTCACCGAAAATTTCCTAAATTCAACAAAAATGGTAGAAAAGTTCACTTACTTTGAGGTGTGTATGTAGAAGGCTCCTGGATGATGATGATGATGATGATGATGATGATGATGATGATGATGATGGGATTTAGAATGGGGGTGGAGGAGAAGGAAGAAGAGAAGGCATTGGGGTGGAAGAAGTCACCCCATGGCATCATTTCACCCATAAAATTTTAGCTCTCTTGGTGTAATTCAAGATTATTTTCTTTAATTCAACACTGCACTGCATTATATATTGTCAATATGTAAAATATATTTCAAAATGACCAAAAATTTGCTTGGAAACACAGAAAAAAAGCGTTTAGTTGAAGAGAGTCTCAAGCAAGATGTTACCTCCAGTGAAAACAGAAAGAGACTAACTCCTGTTTGCTGTGTTAAGAGGCTGGATGCCGAGCATTAAACTAGTCACTTTACCTTCAATTATGTTCAATAATTGTTAAAATGACTAAAAAATTGAATATTAAACTTTTAAAATTATTAAATAGTATAAACTTCTTGATATTTACTAAAATAGTAAGGAATTTAAGCCCTAGAACCGATTAATGTATTGGCGGACTGATACTAAAGCTGGTTGCCCGGTCAGTGCAAGCGAAATCATGTTGAGGTCGGTTCGTAAGAACTTCGTTAACCGAATTTTTTAGATTGACGAATTGAATTATAGGCAGTTAGGTTATTCGAAATCGTTAGCAGTGTTAGATTAGCGAGATGCATAATATATATATATATATATATATATATATATATATATATATATATATATATATATATATATATATATATATATATATATATATATATATATATATATATATATATATATATATATATATATATATATATATATATATATATATATATATATATATATATATATATATATATATATATATATATATATATATATATATATATATATATATATATATAATACACACAAGAAGAAGATAATAAAGTACTCTCTGCCAAACTTACCAGGACAGTTTTTCTCATCAGACCCATCTCTACAATCAGGGGTCCCATCGCATCTCAAAGTCTGTTCCACACACTGACCATCGTCACAGGTGAATTTATCATTACAAGCTGGCAGGAGCAGGTTAACCAGTTAGAATATCTTTTCAAATACATCGCTTTATTCCGTAGTTTCAAGAATGGTATGGTATATCATAAGACCAAATATCAAGTAATAAGCACGCAGTTTATGAAAGACATGAAAAATATTGACATTATGCTCAACAACAAAAACATAATAAATAAACAGTACAGTAAAATGATTAAAAGCACAACATGAACAACACTTGGATGGGTGCAAACTGGACACACAGTAACACTTCAAGAATCACATACTGTACCCAAAAATCACTCTTGGCTATACGGGTATTTGTCTATTTAAAGAATTTGTACGAGTGTTAATTTTTTTCTCGTTTTGAATGGCCAAGTGGATCAACTTATTAAATGTATGAACAAACCCAGGGTACTGTGTATACTCAAAACAATCACAAGAGGAGGAGGAAGGAAAGAAGAGGTTACCAGCAGCTACAGTATATGGGCAGGGCTAAAACTCCTTAAAAAGATCAGTCATTGCAACAACAGGTCTACATGGACTACCCAATTATCAATTTGACTAAAACTTGAAAGCAAATTTAATTACTGACATTAACCTTTTCAGTAACTCCCATTAGGTAGATTTGTATTTATCACATGGAACCTGTGCAACCAGGAATTTCATTTAATCCCTTAAATATTTAGGAATTTCGTGTACAGTAATCACAAACTTTTTAAAAATTCCTTGTACTGGTACAGTAATTCCTAAAATGTTCATCCAGAATTTCATGCAATTCTTAAAATATTCAGGAATTTCTTGTAACCTTTGTAACCATCAGAATATTTTTAGAATTACTGTATGTAAAATCCCTAGTTACAAAGATCCCCCTGTAACATATATAAACTTCTCTCACACTATTCAAAGCAATTCTATGCTATGCTTTAGAAATGTAACTTGGACAGATGAATACACCAAAGCAAAAAATACGGTAGTCATGCATAAAAATTATGAAGCTTTTCGCAAGCACAACACTGCAACATTCTAACTCTTCATACTTACCATAACTTTAGTCTAACAATAAAATAGTGATTAATGACTTTTTTATGATCTCTCTTATTCTTGTAGGTCTTTTCCCACTGTGCTCCATGAAGTCCACTATCAAGAACAAAACCAGACTCTCATTTTAATCTATTTTATCCATTCAAGCTGACTGCTGTGACATCCCCAAATATCATTTAATGCCATACTCAACTTGACTTGCATTGCTGCTTCCTGGATGTTCATCCCTCTCATTTCTTCTAATATCACCCTATTCTTTTATCTCCAACTTGGTCTTTCCCAACAACATTATTTTTTTAGTACAGGTATACCAGAGCTGATGATGAATGTTGATATAACATTGTTAGTTGAACATGTTAATAAACTAACACTGCCATGTTGTCTAGATTCATTGGCTAGCCAGACTGGGTCAGCCTACCACTGACTTCACCTCAGAGGATAGAAAAGAAGTTAACGACTGCACTAGCCCGGCTCTCCACTCAAAGAATGACTAGCTCAACTCCATAAATGATATTGCAAGCTGGTTCACTCAGAATTTTCATACCTTAAATACTAAGATCATCAAACCTAATTCTCTTTCATTGGTTACTCATTCAACAGGACCTTACAGTATCTAACTAATGCATTTATTACTTCCAGCATCCTATAACAACACATATAAAAATATTTTAAATAAACTTCGTTTAAAACGCTTTGCAATTTGCCAAACATAAAACAGGCCAATACTGTGCTGCAAAGTTTGGTTTTTTTCCAATATGAACAGATTATAGAACCTGTAGATCATTACAGTACCACAAACAGGGGGACACACACATCCCACATTAAGATTGTTAGAAAATTCAAATCAATATTGTAGAGCAATTATTTCATCGGTTAGTAGAATACACATCCCACACTAAGACGGTTAGAAAATTCAAATCAATATTGTAGAGCAATTATTTCATCAGTTAGTAGAATACACATCCCACACTAAGACGGTTAGAAAATTCAAATCAATACTGTAAAGCAATTAATTTCATCAGTTAATAGAACACACATCTCACATTAAGACTAGGGAAAAAATTCAATATACATACGGCAGTTAACGGTTTCATCAGTCCCATCATCACAGTCCTGGGTACCATCACAGCGTTTGTCTGGGCTGATACACATGCCACTATTACACATGAAGTTTGGTGGTTCACAAGCTGGGGAAGCAGCAGCCAAGACTCACATTAACACAAACATACAAGACACTTCATTACTGCACCACTGTTTCCAATACCAGTTACCAACACTTAAGTACTGTACCTCAAATAATATACACCACTCTAAGTTTAGTCTATACTGTTCTTGTATTTCAATGAACTTATGCTATAAATTATTTTCAAGAGTAAGTATTGTATGTAAATCAGAATAAAAAATATTACCAGTATGCAAATATTAATTGAAAGTTTGGTAAATTCGAGTGTATACACTGTATGATCAATTATTTGCGATAAGTTATATGTATATACGTATATAGGCTTTCAAGGAGTAAAAATTCATTTGCTTTTTATGAAAACTTCATAAATATTCAAGGACAGCAACTAAATGTACTATACTTTAACCCTTTAAATTGGAAGATTGTCCAATATCAAGGGTTTTGACTGGCTAAATTCTAGAAAATCATAACAATATTGCATAATATTTACAAGAGTAATTTCTGCACTGTATCTGATGACCATCAAATTAACTGATGTTTGAAGGACACTAATATTCTAAAAGCTCAGGCACTTAAATAGCTTTTCTTATTCTATTAATTCTTGATACACTTTTTAAGCATTTATTATCCTCTCTCTATGATGTCCCATTTCCTATGTGGATCAGTTCTACTCCTTAAAGATATCTTTCACGACAGGATTAATCTGTTATCACAAACTAATTCTAAATTTCATTTTAAAATCAACAATCAATGACAAGCTGTTTTTTTGTTAAATTATAAAATTTCCTCTTAGAATTATCCTTTTACCTACCCATATAAATTACCAGTAGCTGCACTGAAATATTTATCTTAAATCATCAAATCTGGGAGTATTCCAGGGCTTTGGTATATGAACAAAATCCCCACTTTTTAGAAAAAAATTGTAGCATCAGAAGATGCCGAGTTGCTGACACAGGCATCTGAAAGCATCCCATGCTGTGACACGGACAGTAAGCAGTGTACCGTAGTGTGTGACAAAGCCTCCATGCTTATATGCACATATACAGATAATATGTCATATGAAGGTGCTACTGTACAGTACAGAATACAGTATTGATCTAACTGGCCATCAAATAAGAAGTAGAAATTAATAACTGATTACTAGGTACATGCTTTAATTTTATTGCTATGGAGGAATAAATTGATGAATGTATGCCTGGTCACATGTATATCAACAGGAACATGGATTAAATAAACTTGATACTGTACTTCTTTATTAATTAATGTCATTATGATTATTGTATATGTTTAGAAGTATTGTTCCCCCTAAAACATTACTTAAAAGTGTGGATTTTTTTATGTTAGGGGGAATTTTATTTCGGCAGGAACATATCTCCTTTTATATAATGGTAATAAATGGGAAAATGGCTTCCATTTACAAAAAGGTTTTCAGGAATGTATCTTTTTTCTAAAAGAAGCACTCCTGTATTGTACAATCATGAAAACACAAGTTTCTGTCCAAGTGTCAACACTACATTTCTTATGTTATCTTTCCTAAATATTAGTTCATGTAATTCATATCTATTTCATATACCTTTTTTTAAAGTCGGCTAATGCAGGGCTTCCTTCAGCAAAACTACTTATTATGAAATAACGCAAACCTTAAACAAATAATGCGAGGTTATAATGCTCACACTCGCAGACTGGTGGGCATTACAATATAAACATAATTTTCAAAGTAATACAAGTACAGTAACAGGAAAAGCACTTGAGTGGTGGAGATATGTGGAGGTTAGTTAAGTGCTGGCAAGTTGGTAATACTTCTGGTGCCTCAATAACTTAACCAAATATCTGCTGCAATTCAGCTCTAATAACAGAAAACGAAATACAAAAAAATAATTGGCTTTAAAGGAATTCGTGTAAATGCATTTTGGGAAAAACAAGAGAAATTTTACATAGAGATTCAAAGTAAAAGCCAAAAGAAAATAAATAAATTGAAATGAGAAACATTCTATAAAATCATAAGCCAAAACAACACAAGAGATTGATTCTGGATATCCCAATTTATACCATAATTAGGAATCAAGTAACCTGCAAGATTCTCTCAAAGAATCAACCCTTGGCATAGCCTAATCAAGGGAACTGATACATTCTGAGGTAAGACCACTGTCCTAATCATATCAGTACTTTTGCTACATATGCAACCATTCACCCAGGGAAAGATTAAGTAACCGAGTGTGGTAGTCAACAGTATATGTTCATCCCAAGCTAACCAGCATGATATGAAGAAGGTGAACTGGTAACACTGTATGGGAGAAATAACCTGACATTGGTGCAGGATGATTCATAACTGGGGATCATGACGTATATGATTATATTTACTGTGGATGCCAACGAGCATGTTTTATGCTTGATGACACATTCATTATAATGAACACGGATAGTATGGATGAATATATTAATACAAGTATTCTGGTAAACTGTGGTTAGAAGTAGCAAAAGTAATGGTTATGAATAAGGTCTTTATTAACATCAGTACAATGATGACTTTTAATTATTCTGGTTACTGACAAAGGATTTTATTCAGCTTAGGAATGACCTCTCATAGTAAATGAGTTAAAACAATCTCAGTTAACACATTTAGTGTTGTGAAAAAAAAAAATGTACACTAGCTACGGTCATATGATTTTTCGAGCTCTCAGTTAAATTAAACATGATTTTTAAATCATGAAAAATGCTTGTTGGCATCAGCAGTACAACTAATCATATTACATCTGGATCCCAAGTTATGAATCATCCTGCAGCAATGCCTTTCATTTTTCAATAACTTTATTTTCCCACATTTTACCCATTGATACTAATTAAGTATTTGTAATACAGTACAGTACAATATACAAGAATTATATTCTTAGGCAATCTTCGATCATAAATCTTGAATACTAGCCACTTACAGCATATCTGCCAATGCTCTCTCATACAGTGTTACCAGATTTTCTGCCTCATATCCTGCAGGTTGGTTCTGGATAAACTTCTGCTGTCGACTCTAACCAAAATCATAATGAGGAGACCCTTCAAAAAATACTAGTCTGAGGGCAACACAGACAAGACAATATTCAGTACAGTGAGTTCTGCTATAACGCGTGTTTTGATAACGCGAATTTGCTCTAACGCAATTTATGAATTAGGAACGATATTTGTATAACGCGAACGCTTGTTTGCTATAACGCGATTTTTGCTTACTATTTCTCCAATTTTGTGGTATTAATTGTGAATATGGTAAAGAAGAATATCTCCAAGAAGCGTTCTGGTGATAGAATTCCCGGTGATGATCGTAAAAGAAAGGATATAACACTTGAAGAGAAGCACGATGTTATCAACCTCAAAATCGCCCTTCTCCCCCATCAAGTTACATTCATATTTTTTCAAGGTAGTGTTACATTTACTGTATGAATTCATTATTAGATATGAATGTAACATTTATTTAGACTGTGGTATCCTTTGTGTTAGGATAACTACTAAATTTTTTCGATTTCGAGTAATCTGCACCTAACCCTATTTTCTCCATAAGCCCTGTTATTTCTATTACGCGATTTTGTATAACACAATATTTTACAAGAACACAATTATCGCGTTATAGCAGAACTACCTGTACTGTACTTCACCGAGACATTACCGTATTAAGGTGTATCATTCATGGGGGTGGTCTCTAAATAATAAATTGTCTAAATAATAAATTGGTCACTTAAGAAAGAGGGAATACTTCACCAGCAATAAGCATTTTAAAGGAAGCATGCAAGCATTATCATCCCACAGTATATTATCATTCATCATATCTTTTGTACATCTTACCCATAACTTGTTATATAACCACATAGGAAAAAATAAAAATTAAATTCCCAAGCACACTTTCATGTAATTCATATCTTCAGGGGCAAGTACATACATACTTTTTTCCTATGCGGTTATCAGCATATCCATGGATCACACACCACAACTACAGTGATTATTATATATATATATATATATATATATATATATATATATATATATATATATATATATATATATATATATATATATATATATATATATATATATATATATATATATATATATATATATGTGAAAACTTTTACTTTGTACTGTACTGTATACTGAACCAAGGAAAGCAATCTTAGAGCTTCATTCAAAGTTATGAAGATTTGTGTACATTTAAGGCACTGAATACATCAAGCTCATGAAATATGACCAATTTGTAGTGCCTCAATGAATTTTGTTCATGTAGTACAGTATATATTATAGTATGCAGTACTGTACAATATAATAATTCCTTACAAAGAATTTATTTATCAGATGTATAATACACTAGCACAATATTTTAGAAGGAGGTATGTCAAGTGCTTAATGGGATATTTTTTTCCATTTACAATTCATCCACAGGTAGGCAGGCAGGTAATCTCAATTAGTAGTGACCCTACCTTACCAGCAAAGAGTGTGTTTGCAAGTCCTATATACAATGGCAAATTCCCCCATAGTACAAGTGGGTTGGTAATAGGAAGGACATCCAGCTGCAAAACTTCCTTCTGATTTGCCTAATAGCAGCTGGAAAGTGATGCCATCAGGTAACAGAATCACACCTTACTCATGCAAGCATGGAAAATGACTGCAAGACGGTGGTAATGATGATCATAAAAGTAAACCATTTGATTTTTTAAGATCATTTTGAAGGTCTGTCAAAACTACTGAAGGAATAACGTGGAAAAGTGAACACCTACCACATGATGTTTCATCCTCGCCATAACGACAATCCACAGCAAAGTCACAGTGGCGGAAACCTTCAATACACGTACCATCGTTGCATGCAAACTGATCACTGGGACAAACCACTGAAATAAATAAATAAATAAATACATAAATAAATAAATAAATAATATATATATATATATATATATATATATATATATATATATATATATATATATATATATATATATATATATATATATATATATATATATATATATATATATATATATATATATATATATAATAAATACATGTAATAATAATAAATAAATAAATAATAAATAATATATATACACACACACACTGTACAGTACACTAAATACCCCTGTAAATTAACAATAGTCAGATATGTCTATCATCTGTTGGTACCTAATGTTTATATTCAAATTCAAAGTTCAGCAAATATTTACCTAAAATCTTGTATGTGTATACTACAAAGGGAAGTTATATAGGATATAAAGTATGGTGTAAGAGGGAAGTTGTTTGATGAAGTAAAATAATTCTACATCAGTAATTGAGCACAAACATAGGGTTCTTAGTTCTGAATAATGACTGGGAAAATTAACCACTTCAACTTTTGTCGGTGCTAGTTAAATAATTATTGAAACAAGGGGGTATCTACCAAAGGGGTATAAACCCTTCAAACGGCAATGACCGTTATACGGGTTAGGGACCTCAAAATGCCATCATAAAGTGATCGATCGTATATTGATATTAATAACTAATGGGGAAAAATAGGTTTTGTTCTTCAGCCCCTGAAAATCCCAAGCAAGTTTTATATCAGGCTGTTATAATGATTAAATATAATTATTAATGTCTAAATGACTCAAATAATTTATAAATTGACAATATCAATAAATTCATACAAAATAATCTCATTAACATTACATGACTGTGTGTGTGAACTTGGCAGGTCACCAAGTTAAATGTCACGTAAATTCATTGCCTTACCTCTCTTCCTACCAGGCAACGCCCTATAGCTTTACATTTCACATAATGTATGAGAGTTTAAGACTAGTCTCTCACCATCACCTCCCATTTTATAGACATTCCAAGTAAATTCCTTAATTCATGGGCCTTTCATTATTTGGTATTGCAAATAGACCAAGAATATGCATTGAATCCAGGATGTCAACCATATGTTTAAGCTATATTTAGTAAGCCTGTGTTGTGTGGGCAGCAAGGGGGGTTGGAAGCATGAGTGCTGCCATAAACCCGGGCAGCTGGATCCCGGCTGGGGTAAGGATACTGACATACCAACCCATGGATTCAGTTACATGAAATGTAGCTATGACTTCACAAAGTAAGAGCATTGCCATTCACACAAGACATCTTTCTTAATTTTTTGCACATCTAATTGACCTAATGGCCACCCACTAGAGGTGGTCATGCTAAGGGTAGGAGGCCAGTGGCCTGTGTAAGATCCCTCCATTGCTTTTGATTTTAATTCCACAGCTTGAGCTGGGAGACCATTCCATAGATCTTCCACCCTCTGTGTCAAGAAGTATTTCTTTATGTTTGTTCTGCAGGATAGCTTAGCAAACTTGTAGTTATGTCCCCTAATGTTGGTGGTGTGTGACATTACAAAGAAATGGCCCAGTTTCAAGTTTTTCATCCATTCATTTCAAGATTTTGAAGGTTTCAATGAGATATGCCCTATTAAGACACATACTGTACTTCTAATACACTCCTAAAGTTTAATAAGAAACAAACACAACTCATGACAAAAATGATTGAGGCTGCTCATTCATGATATTTTCTTTGATATCTTAAAAAAAAATTCAAAGTATTTTCCAAGAAACTACAACCTCTAAAGGATACTTGATTTGAGTAACTGTGGAACTGGGATGTACCTCTTAAAAGCAATACAAAAGTGTAGACAGTACAGTACAATACAGTATATGTCAAGATACCAAACCCTCTTCACCCAGTTAAGAATAAAAGGACCAAGATATATGGTCCAGCATGGAGTGTGTTTTACCTCAAGAAAATTTTCCTGTATTGGTCTTCCGTCTTGGAAAAGACTTCTGGATTTAAATACCTTAGTACAGTATCTTCAGTCCGGAATGTGAGATGCCGTTAATGTCATATTCAAATCCCATGACTGTGTAAAACAATTAAAGGATAAAGTGATTTACAAGTACTGTACTGTACAGAAAAGCCAGATGGATACATGTTAAGAACAAACATATTTCTATTCCTCTTTCCTTGGTATTAAGTCATGAATATAATAAGAGGCCATAACCACTTAATTATGGTAAGTGCCAACCCCTCACAAGTACTATATAGTGTAATGTACATGATTGAAGTTACATAATACTGTACTTTAATAAAATAAAATAAATAAAAAAGTTTGTGAAGGGAATAATTTTCTCTTCAAATAAAAGAGCAATGAAAAGAACAATACTGTACTGTAGTGTAGTGTAAAGCAGAAACGGTATACTATACATACTGTACAGTACTCCTACGTACAGCAATTGATATAAATTCATATTGAATAGAAAAGTGAAGGCCACAGTGCTGTCCTTGGGTAGATGAGACGTATTCTATGAGACAAGGAGTTGGCAAGGTTGGATGGGTCAATGCAGGGTGCCCCATTGGTCTTGGGATTTTTGAGGCTGCAGGACAAACAGATGAAAGTGCAGCCAATGGTTCCACAATTCTTTGAAGCCATTCCAAAATTACCAGAAAGCATTATTAAGGTATTAAACCCTTCAGGTACAGTGTCCCAATGGACTTATTTCAGCAAACTTTTAAAAAATATCATCCAGTTGGTTGGTTGCGTGGTTTGGATGATGAATGGATGGATAAGTGGGTAGTCTGGGTGTGCGAGTGTACTATCTCAGAATGTGATTAAGAGTTCCTTGTTTATGCATCTGTCAATATGTACCTTAACACTCCTTTACTGTTGAGGACAAATACAGGTATGTACTGTACGGTGCACTATTTTAATATTCCAGTTCATACAAAAATACAACAAGAAACATCATCTACATTATCTGGAACGACAGTAATAATGTGATACCTGATAACTCTCAGAATCATGTCACATATTTCTGTAACATTAGGCTACATTTACACAAAATATTCAGTTCCTCACTTGTATTGCTTTTAGTGCATGGGAATTATTTAGAGTTCTCGGATAAAAAAAAATCACCCTGTATGTGAGCATGAAAAACAATTTATTCAATGATTCTCTAATCTTTAAAAAAACAACAACTAAATAACCAGTTCAATTATAAATACTAACACAGCCAAAATTTATGACTGACGACAACAACACGGTAATTTATGTACAGTATTATTAAGTAGACGCCGAGCCGAGAGGACAACACATCTGGTGACAGTGTGTGGGCGAAATACTTGACACGATATAAATTTTAATAATTTGCAGTGTTACATTTAAGATGGAGACAGTATGAAATTGTGTTGTTGGTGATGTACAGTGTTGTTGGTGATGTACAGTGTTGTTGGTGGTGTACAGTGTTGTTGGTGGTGTACAGTGTTGTTGGTGAAGTACAGTGTTGTTGGTGAGGTACAGTGTTGTTGGTGAGGTACAGTGTTGTTGGTGAGGTACAGTGTTGTTGGTGATGTACAGTGTTGTTGGTGAAGTACAGTGTTGTTGGTGAGGTACAGTGTTGTTGGTGAAGTACAGTGTTGTTGGTGATGTACAGTGTTGTTGGTGAGGTACAGTGTTGTTGGTGAGGTACAGTGTTGTTGGTGATGTACAGTGTTGTTGGTGATGTACAGTGTTGTTGTGTACAGTGTTGTTGGTGGTGTACAGTGTTGTTGGTGATGTACAGTGTTGTTTGTTGGTGGTGTACAGTGTTGTTGGTGAGGTACAGTGTTGTTGGTGAGGTACAGTGTTGTTGGTGGTGTACAGTGTTGTTGGTGGTGTACAGTGTTGTTGGTGGTGTACAGTGTTGTTGGTGATGTACAGTGTTGTTGGTGATGTACAGTGTTGTTGGTGAGGTACAGTGTTGTTGGTGAGGTACAGTGTTGTTGGTGAGGTACAGTGTTGTTGGTGAGGTACAGTGTTGTTGGTGGTGTACAGTGTTGTTGGTGAGGTACAGTGTTGTTGGTGATGTACAGTGTTGTTGGTGATGTACAGTGTTGTTGGTGATGTACAGTGTTGTTGGTGAGGTACAGTGTTGTTGGTGATGTACAGTGTTGTTGGTGATGTACAGTGTTGTTGTGATGTACAGTGTTGTTGGTGATGTACAGTGTTGTTGTGAGGTACAGTGTTGTTGGTGATGTACAGTGTTGTTGGTGAGGCAGTGTTGTTGGTGATGTACAGGTTGTTGGTGATGTACAGTGTTGTTGGTGATGTACAGTGTTGGGAGAGGTACAGTGTTGTTGGTGATGTACAGTGTTGTTGGTAGGTACAGTGTTGTTGGTGAGGTACAGTGTTGTTGGTGGTGTACAGTGTTGTTGGTGATGTACAGTGTTGTTGGTGAGGTACAGTGTTGTTGGTGAGGTACAGTGTTGTTGGTGTACAGTGTTGTTGGTGGTGTACAGTGTTGTTGGTGATGTGCAGTGTTGTTGGTATGTACAGTGTTGTTGGTGAGGTACAGTGTTGTTGGTGAGGTACAGTGTTGTTGGTGATGTACAGTGTTGTTGGTGAGGTACAGTGTTGTTGGTGAGGTACAGTGTTGTTGGTGGTGTACAGTGTTGTTGGTGGTGTACAGTGTTGTTGGTGATGTACAGTGTTGTTGGTGATGTACAGTGTTGTTGGTGAGGCAGTGTTGTTGTGAGGTACAGTGTTGTTGGTTGTACAGTGTTGTTGGTGATGTACAGTGTTGTTGGTGATGTACAGTGTTGTTGGTGAGGCCAGTGTTGTTGGTGATGTACAGTGTTGTTGGTGTACAGTGTTGTTGGTGAGGTACAGTGTTGTTGGTGATGTACAGTGTTGTTGGTGATGTACAGTGTTGTTGGTGATGTACAGTGTTGTTGGTGATGTAAGTGTTGTTGGTGAGGTACAGTGTTGTTGGTGAGGTACAGTGTTGTTGGTGATGTACAGTGTTGTTGGTGATGTACAGTGTTGTTGGTGATGTACAGTGTTGTTGGTGATGTACAGTGT